CCAAGTTGTTACAATGACAGGCCTTGCAATGTCAGAATTCTCAACCTCTCGGGATTCCGATCCGACATGTACGCAGAGACTGACGTTTGATTTGTATACATCGTCCAGCCACGGGCGATTTAGACCGCGGTTGCAATGGTATACATCATTCTGGCAGAATCTGCCAGAAAAGCAAGTTTTGCGCGCATGCATATATATGCATTGCAGCTTGTCGGAGTGTGCAGCAATGTGCAATTGCATGGGGTATTGCTGCCTCGCGATCGAGTGCTGGATGGCCGGAAGTACGGGCCCTCCTAGCTGTCTCGAACTCTTGCATTTAGTTCTATCATCTTCGACCGGAGTTCAATTAATATATATAACGTCACAGGTTCCGGACTCAGCCGTGCAATGGCGAATCTGCGAAGCTTGGAAGCAAATGATTTGGCCGCACGGGCCCCGCCGGCCATGCTGTACTCTATATCACAGCTAGATATGAAAAACAACAATGATGCGGAACATGTGCCGTGAGGGCATGCATATCATCTCATGCATGCAAATGCGTGCACTTCTCACGCTCTCACCAACAGAGACTTGAAAGCACAACACAAATGCGCAGTCCTAGCTTGGATCCCAATTACGATACGCATTGGCGGTCATGTGTACTAGTTACTTCGTTATATGGTCCGCATAATGCAGCAGTCTCGGGCCCACAGCTCGTGCAGTCGTATGGAGACCAAGTCCTACACCTACTCATATTCTCTAACTTAAGTAAAAGCAGCCCATTCAATCCTTGAGAGGCAGAGCCTCAGTACCTTGCTAACCCTCCCTATCCTGACGTCCCTGCCCTATCTACAGTCTGTCTCGTGCACGTCACGATGTCAGGATGACTAGCTGTCAACCTCTCAGACGTGCGCTGCTCCCGTCCTCACAAGCCAGACGGCGCCACGAAGCAACCAACTGAATCCCTACCGTCTTTGCTGAGGAGCAAAGCGCTCCTTTCCCGACTTGGCTTCTCTCTGCAGGCTGAGTTCCTCAGCGTTTGGGAGCAGTCTCGCCCGCTAAGAGACCTCTACGGTCCCGGCTGGCCCCAACAGCGTTCTTGGCGCTATTCACCTGAACCTACCGCCCCCCCATCCCGAAGCTCGTTCGACCGCCCACCCGAACCCTCCACCCACCTAATCTCACCAGCAACCCTCCCCTAGTCGCCACTCATTCGCAGCGCAATGCGGAGTCGCTCAACCAGCCAGTCACCGACCCTCTAAACCTCCAAGTCCACTCCATTTAGGGGAAACTACTCCCCAAATGTGCCCCACTCCCGTTCCTCCCCCCAGACTCGCGTCCTAGCGGGGCGCCTACACCGACTCACCGATTGCACCAACTCACGCGCCTTCCTGCCTGGGTGCGCACTCACTGTCCTTGGCCGACACGCCTAAATGCCCGGGTCGCGATCACTATTATCGACCGACACACCTTCCTGCCCGGTGCGCGTTTCACTGTTACCAACCGACACGCCTCTCCGCCCCAGGCGCGCTCACTGTTCTCGGCCCTTGGGGGGCACAAACAGGTCGGGCATGTTGATCTTGATGTCGGTGGCGGGGTGCGCGCGCTGCAGCCGCAGGACGTCGGAGAAGAAGGTGGAGCAATTCCAGCTGCTCTTCTTCAGCTGGCTCGTGTCCACCACCACGCGCTTCAGCTCGGGGCACCGGCTGCGGGGAGGGGGGGGGAGAAAATGAGTGCCAGGAGTGCCCGGTTGGAGTGACCGGAAAAGAAATGGAAGCAGGGCGGGACAAAACGAGGGTCAGGGGTGGCCGGTTCTCAATTTCATTTTAAAAGGGGAACTGGCTGCAAAGGAGGGCGGGAGAATAGGTGTCAGAAATGGCCGGTCGAAGGACACTTTATTAAGCAGGGCAAAATCAGGTTCAAGGTTGGCCAGTTCTCCATTCTGGTGGGAAGGGGACTGGCTGCACGAAGAGGAAAGGAGTGAGCGCCGGGAGTGGCCCGGTTGGAGGACCGGTTGAACGGGAGAGATTGCGGGGAGGGGGATAAAATGAATGTCAGGAGAGCCCAATCGTGGGTCCTGGTTGAAAGAGTGGGATGAAACAGATACAGAGGTGGCCAACCTGCAAGAACCTGGCGGAAAAATGATGACCACAATTTCCGGGGAGGAGAAAAGGTTCTGAAACTGCTTGGAGCAACAATGGGACAAAAGTGAGATGTCAATCAAAATCATCTACGAGATAGAGCAAAGTCTCACTTGAGCAGCGCGGCGAGGACGTCAATGTAGACTGCCTTGGCCTTGACGGCCCCCAGCTTGATCTCCTGCACCTTGGGCATCCACACCGGGTTCGCCTCCGCGATCGTGGCCGCGTCTAGCCGCCCCGCCGACAGCACCCACATCAGCTCCGCGCCGATCTCCATCTTGCGCACCTCCTGCGGAACGAAGATGAAATGATTTGGGTCCACACAAAAGGCCAAGTCACCAGACCCTTGAGAGGCAAGGAAACAAACGACCCAAATCCGCCCCAGTCAGGTCTTCGCGAGCAGACGAGCATATTTTGCGTCTTGTTCTACCATTCAAGACCGGAATGTTGAAAAAGAGGAGAACAAAAGATAAAGGAAAGTAACATAGCAGCATCCCAGGATGCGGTCCTTCCGCAGGAGGACAGGAAGTTTTCTTCCGGACCTCCTAAGGAAAGGAGATAGCACTGGCAATCTTGCCCCCAAGAATGCTGATCCATCACGATGTTGGGAAGGAAAGGAGAAGGACGGAGAGAAGAGGCATGACGGACGTACACCGGTACCTGTATTGTGGGCATCGTGCAAGAAAGATGGATCAATACGAAACGCGCAGCATCCGAAGGCAGCGGGCTACGCCCAAGAGAACATCCAGCCCGTTCAGCAAAAGACATGACTTCAGGAAGGGAATGCGGTACCCGCGCGAACAGCCAACGTGCCAGCTAAACAACCGACCATAGCATATGGCTAAACTGATAGCAGCCATAAGCCAGCCCCTGATCCATACCACGAAGAAGAGAAGAAGGAAGAGCCTCATAAACACAAGCAAAGCAAGGCCCCGCACCTGCAGCGTGTAGAAGAAGCGGTCGAGCCGGACGGGCTCAACGGGGACTCCGTTGGCGTGGATCTGGTCCCGGCACTTGATGTAGAAGGCGACGTTCTTAACCTTGGGGTTAGCGTACAGCAGCTGCTGGATGCTGTCCCAGTCCCAACCCTTGCCCACGATTTTGAGGTCCTGGAAAAGAGGTCAAGAACCGGGTTAATCTCACGTCAGAATCGAGCATAACTGGGCTGAAAATGTTAAGGTGTAAAGGTGTGATTGCGGTTATAATCAGGTTCTTAACCCTGGGGTTAGCATAGAGCAACTGCTGAATGCTGTCCCAGTCACAGCCCTTGCCACAATTTTCAGGACCTTCAGCTCAAAGCCACAATACACATAACACCAAGAAAGATTTCCAGGCCCGCTTCAACCCACCTGCAGATTCCCGGTGTTCTGCAAGTTGAGCACGATGGAGTGGTCCGAGCGCAGGTGCAGCTTGGTCAGTGCGCGCCCCGCCTCGAGGCTCACCCCCGCGACCTGCTCCAAGCTCAACCTGGTTAGCGCCGGCGTCCGCAGGGTTATGCTGCTAACCGGCGTCGGGGGCTCTTTCAGCGCGAACGTCGTCAAGTGCGGGTTGGAGATCCTCAAACTCGTCACGCCCAGACACCCCGTTATCAGTAACTTCTCCAACCGGGGACATAACCCGAGCACCCGTTCCGCCGAGTCGGCCCCGCACACGACCCCATACAGGGTCAGCGACTTCAGCCGGCTGAGGGGGGGAGCATCGAACCCGGGCGCGTGCGTAATCTCGGAGTTGCTCAAAACGAGGGTTTTGAGCATGGTGCACGTCGCGAGGCGCGCGAAGCGCCCCGTCCAGAGCTTCGCTTCGGGGAGTCCGTCGCCGAGATCGGAGATGTAGAAGTTTTCGAGGTGGGGGGCCGTGTGGTCCAGCCATCTGAAAAGCTCCCCGTCGCTGATGCCGCGCGGCCGGTTGCCGTCGGCCATCGTGTGGCGGTCCTGGTGCAACGCGACCTGCGGGAATTATGTGCGAGGTGTCAAGGCTACTCTCTCGAACGTTAGGCTGTCTCTGAAAGCTTGGGGTTACCGTCAGGGTTCTCCCGAATAACAGCTGATTGCAATCGTCCAGCAAATCTTGTGATTCATATGCACCTAGAGTAGGTGCATATGAAACACGTCTCCACCAAAAGTTATGATCAGATAGGAAGAGTCAAGAGAATAAGGGACAAACTCTGTGCAACAGTCCTGGCGCAATGCGACCTGTTGGGAACGAGCGTTGCAAAGGCGTCAAGCTTGTTCCCCCCATTGTGGTTTTCTTAGAACGTCAGCTTTTGCAGGACGTCAGGTCTTTCCGCAGAAGATACTTAACAAAAATGCGCATGAAGAAGCTCTCACTAGAGCGAGTCATGATGGGGATCACTGGCATCTGTGCGGGAATCTTAGTGCAACGCGGGTTGTTGGGGGAAACTGGTCTCAAGGCTTCAAAGTTGTTTTAAATGTCGGGCTCTTATGGAACGTGGGGCTCTTTCCGACTAGATGTTCGTCATAGCTTAGGCTGAGGCTTGCTAACGAACATCAAAGGAGTTTGGCTTGCTGTCGGCCACAAACGTGGCGGGTCTCATACGGCAATACTTACATACGGGTGACCTAAGGTGCCGTGATAAATAGAAACAAGAGCCCTGAAGTGCTGTTCGCCGAGAATCTGGCCTTGAATTAAGGGTGCCTTGAGTACGACAGCTACGGGAGGACTGGGAGAGCTGAAGCTTGTTTCAACGGAGGACTTGAGGAAGGGTGAGCTTTCTTGTGAGCTCCAGAAGGTCAAATTCCAAAATGTGAGACTTAATTCGAAAAAAAGGAATGTGCCCCCAACTGACTAACATCAGATGCTCACAGACCATGAACAAGCCTGGCGTAATCTTTGCCACAGGCCGACGCTACTTAGGCCTGGCAGAGCAGAATCCCCATAGAATCCGACGTCCTCTTGCCAATGGTTTCAAGGAGATCGAGGATGGTGAGTACAACAGGACACAATTAAACACTATCATGAAGAACTACCATATCAACGAAGAAAAAAAGGACGTCCGAGTTCAGACCAATCTCAAGGTCCAAGAGTACTTCGAGCAGAATCCCGTCTTCACCCTGCCACTGCCATTCTCTCTGCAAGTTGCCATCCCCAATCTCCTTCAGCAATAATGGTGCCCATAAGCGGAGCTAGAGAGCGAGACGTCAAAGCACACCCACCTGCAGGCTCCGCAGCTCGCAGGTCTTGAGGACCATCTTCCCAACAATCTCCTCATAGTCGTTGTGCCCCTTGAAGAGGCCGCTGTAGAAGTGGAGCGTCTGCACGCGCGCGCACATCTGCTGCCACCGCTTGCTGACCAGCGAGCACTTGGCAACTAGGCGCGCGTCCTGCAAGGAACAAAAGGCAACGTCTTTCTTTAGGAAATTGGGTGACTTGAACATACCAAAAGGGTTGCACAATGACATTTTACAGCAGGATTCGACGTAACTAACCAGAAGCTTGAGCGAGGTACTGTGATCACGGCAGACATCAGCTCAGTATGTTTTCGGAGGACGCTTGTTGTGTGTGGCCCATTTAGAATGGATTCCCTTCACTGATCCAAGTTGAGCTGATTTCAGTCACTGCAACACTCAAAGAGAGGCACCAACCATGCGCACTGCCGTTCAAAAAGTAAACCAAAATCGTGTCCGCCGATCCAACGGAATGTACGACCACGGCAGTCAAAGATGTCATTGCTACTTCAATCTTATTGAGCAGCTCAAGTGAAGCAGATCCTTTTGTTCAAAGTCGACTATAGGGCCAAAACTGCCTCACGTTGATCCGTCCTTGCTTCTCTGATAAGCCCAATCTGTGCTAATCAGATGAGTCTCCATTTCTGGGTATTGAACAGCAAAGAGCTGAGAGACACGGACCCCTCTTAGGGTTGACTAGAGTACTTTGTGAACTCCGTACTCTGAAGCGCATGGATATGCTTAGGCTTTGAGGCTAATCTAGCCTTCACTGAGCACAAAACTTCCTTCTCTCATATCCACAAACCTCCACAGACTGAGATTCTCGTGGAACTTGACAATGAACGTCTCCGAACGCTGACCCAGTGTTGTCCAAATTGTCCACTGCAGGTTGTGCAAGTTCCACAAAAGACCAAGAGGCAAAGGCCAACCTGCCTTAGCTAAGTACGCAAGAACCCTGATAGGACGACAACTGAAAAGACATGCCTAAGCACAAGGGGTGCGCTCAAGCTGAAAGAATTCTGGTCCACCGATCTGAAGCACCACATGCATTATTGCAATCTGACCTCGCAGGAGTGTTTTGAAGGTACATAACAATTGAACTAGCGCTTGCTAAAAAACCCTTTGCTTCAGTGGAAGAGCGGCAAAAACAAATGGTTGGGGACAGCCCTACCTTGAGTGAGGACAGGATGCGGATTACGACGTCGTCTGGAATGCTTGCCACCTGATCCACAGCCTCCGTACTTTGCTCCACCTCCATTGGATCCATTTTTTCTGCCTTTGTCCTGGGAAGAACTTCTGAAGATGCGACTATATCCTGAAAAAAAAGTATTTCCTGCGACCAGGGACAGTAAGGGCGCTAAGAGCCCACACTGCCTGTGACTGTTTGTAAACTCTGCTTGCACGAGAATAAAGCGCCGCGCTGACTGCTCCCGTTCAGAAAAACCAACTTTTCTCTTCTCATGCACCCCGCATCGTCCTGACCAAAGCAGGTTTGCGCAGTATCAACCACCCGCCGAAAAGGCTTCCCCCTTGTCAAGGACAACTCTAGAGTCTAGTTTTCAGGGCCCAGGTTGGAGGCTCTCCCTGCAATCTTTCAATCGTTGTTGCAGCCCTGACTTCCTGATCCGCGTCACACTCCTCTGCTGCGCTTTGTGCTTCTTCCCGGACAGAGGGGTAAACTGCGAAAACGCTCCTTTTTGAGCCTACCGGTCACTTTCTTCCCGCATGGAGAGGCGCGACCCACTGCCAACCTTTGCCCAGGGGACAAGCACGGTGGCTTTCCCCACCGCAACCAGAATTTGCCTAACGCAACTTCGAGTGCGCTCAGTTTTAGGGTTTGCCACTTTTCCGGGGCAAAATTTCCGGGCTGAATATGCGCAAAGGGCCAGCATATGTGACACCGAAGGCGCATCAGATCTCTCGCTTTGCATTGCTGTTGCTGATTTACAATCAGCGTGAAGGCGCTGTCTCTCGGACGAGTCTAATATAGAGCTTTGGCATTCTTGTGGAGAAGTGAAGAAGCAATTTGCGGGGCGGAGGGCGGCCATAGGATCTTGCAGCATTCCCTGGAAGAAACGGGGTTTTGTGTCTGCACCATTCTTGCATGTGATGGCGGCACCAACTGCAAACCTTGTTCCAATAACCAGGGCGTTCCTGAGCAAGTTTTACGATCAGCACCCCTTTGAGCCGATCAGTGAGGATGTTAAAAAGGTGCAGGCGAGGCTTCAGGGTTTGGTAGACGAACTTGAGGTTGAATGGAGAAAGCAGGGTGCAGGTAAGCAAGGATGTGAATCATGGAGTCCTCGGCGCAAGGCAATGCCCGGGTTAAGAAACCGCTGAGCAGGAAAGCCAGGGGCCTAGCCCTTGTTTGTCTGTGGTTGTCAAAAGCTTTGTTGCCCCTGCAAGTATGAGAGTGTAATCTTAATCTCATCGAATTGGGTATTGAGACAGCGTTTGTCAGCATTGAGCGCCACAATTGATTAGAAAGGAACTGTCAATGTTAAGAAAGAGCTGGAAACAAATTTGCATGCACAATTTTTGAGAGTTTTGGGTCTAGAAGATCTATCCAGAAGATCTAACAGAAGTCGGTACCAGGATACCTCATTGGCAACCTTGTGATCACCGAGTCTGTTCCAGTCGGACGGGTGAAGTCTGGAGCCTCCAGGATGAGCCTCTCCTGTTTTTTGATATATTTTCCTGGAGTAGCAAACTTGTTGACTTGTATATGCAAAACTAAAGCGCTTGAGATGATTCAGACTCCTGCTCATCAGTAGTTTGGGCATGTTTGAAAATGTGTTTGAGACATGGGCGGGGTGTTTCTCCAGGCCACCCGGAAAACATGCAGTGATTACTCCGGGTGCTGGTCATCCGTCTTTGGTTCCAGCTTGACTTCTGGACGCAAGGCCCATGATCTGGTCAGTATAAGGAGCAATGGAGACCTGGGGTGGTGAACATCACAATCTGTGTTCTGGAGAATCCAATTCAATTCTGACAGCTGTTGATACTATGATGCCTATCTCAAAATGTGTATGGGTTTTAGAGCTTTGTTCGCTTCCTTGACTTTGCCTGGCAGTCAAGGAGCCTGGTCCAGCTGCTCGATTTGGGTTGCCTACCTCTTGAGAGCCTGCAGCAGGAGTCGGCGTCGGAGAGGTTTATTCTGTTGACAGAAGACGCGATGCTCATTTTAGGCAGACATTAAGTTCCAGTGCTCATCCTTGACCGCAGATGACATGTCTCTGGCATCCTCGTTGACCATCACCGTTCCGCACAAGATCGATGAGAACCTCTGGCGGCACCGCGAGCAGATTGAGGAGGCGCTTGACCTTTTGAAAAACAAGAAGCCCGCTGCGGTGAGTCAAACATTCTTTGTAACCTCCTGTTGATTCTGGAGTCGCCCCTTTATTCTTGTAGTGGTGCTGTTTCGATTATGCTTTGGGATATTTCACCTGCCACTCCTCCTACCGAAGTTAAAAATCTGTATCCTGTGACCTTCCTCATCTTGTTCCCCTTATCTGCTCCTTACAAGTTGATTTAGAGGTTGCTCCCTGAGCAGAGGTTCAGTCCCTGAATGCAGTTTATGATGTATGACGAATATGTCTACTGATGGTGATGATGAAACCTTTGATTGCAGTTGGACAAAGCAGACACGCCAGCCACCAAGTCAGGGAAAGAAGCCGTGGAGAAGGTCGTTGCAGAGCTTGAAGACATCCTTGGCGTCATCTCTCAGTTCCAAAAGAATACCGCTGACAAAGTTGCAAAGATGGGTGAGAATCTGTAACCAAAGAGTTGGTCAAAGAAAGACACCTCTTCTGTCTTTGTTCACCACTTGTGCTGAGAGTTGGCAGGGCCTGTCGCAAAAGGGCTCAGTGCCTCAGAAGTGCTTGTAAAGGACGTCCTGATTTCTCTTTTAGGCACTGTGGAAGAGCGTCATCTGCAATTGTTTGTGTACTGTGTGCCTTGTTTCGAGATTTCAAGGCAACCGTTGGACACATTCAACATGAGTTTTGCCTTTGGCAAGAGGGATAATGTTGCCAAATTAGAGGGAAATGAAGTCTGCCTTTCAGATTTTTCCGTCTGAAAGCAGCAGTTTGATAGGGGCCGCTTTCGTGCCTCATTACGTTTCCTTGGGCGTTCCGTTTATATTACTTACGTCAGTTGCTCACACCCAGCCGTGTAACTCTTGCAGTTGCATCATTCATGCCTCAGGACTTCAGGGGGACGCTGATCCAGATGCAGCGGGAGCGCTCGGAGACAAAGCGGCAACTAGAGGTGGACGAGCTTGTGAAGGGAGGCGCCAGCATCTCGGAAAAGTACCAGCTGCTTTGGAGGCAACAAATGGAGCGGTAAGCAAATTGCTTCAGCCCTTGAGGTATACCTTTACGGCGATGCATGGGTCATTTCATCCAAAGCTCCCACATGATCTTTCTGGTCAATCGCAGGCTATGGCGCATTTTAGCCTCCGACATAAAGTTGAATGAGCTGCAATGTTACACAGGCATGAGGACCTTCTCCACCGCATTATTTGGCTCGTGCTTCGTAATGGCCTTCTGGCAGTCGTCTTTCTTCGAAAAGCATGAGATGGTGGAATAAGAGGCGAAAATCCATTATGCAGACAGTGACTGCCCCTTGGGGCCCCGCCACCCACAAGTTCCGTACCCCTGTTTTCGACTCCGTGGACTCACTACTGTTGTTTCAAGTCCCTGGGCCCCTTCCTTTCCTCCTTCCTGCACATAACTTGCTTGACTATCACGTTCGTGACGTCAGCAACTTTCCCAGTTCTCAGGTGGAAGACGCTGGCCGCTCTTGGGAACATGATCGGCATGTTGGAGTCCGTACTGCAGTCATGAGGCGGCCGCCCCTCTCTCTTCCTCATTTCTCAACTTTTCATGCTCTCCATCTCGCCTCGGCCATAACAAAGCTGACGTCAGCAACTTCGTCGACCTACATGCGGGAAACACTGGCTGCTCTCAGGAACGCGACCAGCATGTCGGATACCGTATTGCAGTTCTTAGATTGACCGTTTCTTTTCCTCTTCCCCTCTTTTCAGGCTCTGCATTTCGCGTCAGTTATATTCAAACGCCGGCAGCTTCCACGACCTACAGGCGGAAATGCTGGCCGCTCTCGGAAACGCGACCGGCATTTTGGACTCTATAGACTCGCCTGCTTCTTATCCTCTTCCCCCCTGTTCACCGTGCCTCGACCATGACATTTCTGACGTCAGCAATCTCCTAGATTTACAGGCGGAAGACGCTGGCCGCTCTCGGGAACGCGACGGGCATGTTCCGCGTGCTGGTGACGTACCTGGCCGGGGTGCCCCAGGTGCTGCTCGACTTTGTGCGCCAGATTAACGACCACAACGGCCCCATGGAGGAGCAGCGCGAGCGATATGGCCCGCCGCTGTACGAGCTGACGTCATTCGTGAACCACATACGGATGTTTGTTGCGGCGTGGTGGAGCGTGCACGACTCGACCGCTGGGTGAGGGCTTTGGCTTTTGCTTTCGCTTTTCATCGAGGTTGAAGGAGTTGCGTTTGTTCGTGAGGCAGAAGCGCTTATCAGATCACCCTCTGTGCACGACTCAGCTTCTTTGAAGGCTTCGGCGTTTCCCAACAAGGAGGAGTTTTGTTGAGTTTCACAATGATGTATCTTTGTTTAAGACCTTCTATCATCCGATCCCGCTGGGTGCCTGCTTTGTCTTTCTGCAAGACAAGGGTCAGTAGTCTGGCCACTATCGAGAGACTGGCATCTTCTGCAGGTTGGGGAAGGGGCCTGTAGAGCTTTGATCTGCACGTCGGTACTTGGTTGTCTTCGAAGCGTTATTTTTTTACTTCCCTCAGGGCTCAGATCAATGGTCGCCCAGTCCCTCAGAGCCATCCTTGCCTTACCCTCTGGAAATTTTCATTGCTTGATACGAATTCTTACAGCAGCAGAAGACATTTGACAGGTCGTAACGGACGGGTTGCAGAGCTTCTAGGCTCAATCGAAGTCATTTCTTTTCCAGCAGCATTTGTCAAGGTCACGGTGATTGCTTCTTCTCGCAGACGGTCGAGCGAGTTTGAGGCGGTACTGCAGGAGGCGACCAGCTTGTACATTTCCGAGACGAAACGGTTTCTTTGTTTCATCGGGTAAGTCAGAGCGGTGCTAGGGTCCGTACTATTTGATGTTCCACACTCCTTCCATACAACCACAGGCAGAAAAGGTGACGAAAACTGCCGACTTTCAAAGCAGAGCGTTTCGTGTCCTCATACTTCCCTTGATCTACTCTTATCCACGTCCCGCTCGAGTTCTTTCGTTTCTTTGACTCGACATAAGCTGATCTGTGCAAGGTCTTCTTACAGAGAACCGGGTGCAATTTCGACCATATGCCATCCATATTGTATCTAGGGCACCTTCCTTCGAGTTGTTCCTTGTGAGCTCCTAATTTGCTATCCATATTCGTTTAGGCACCGCAATTTGCTCCTGCAGGAACGTGTTCGACAAGTCGCCATTCCTGATCGAAGCATCAGAAGCGTTGGCGCTCGAGCCCGGGTAAGTCCCCTCTACTCGCAGCATGAGAGCACTTTCGAAGCTGTCTGGTCGTTTTGCTGAGCAAAAAACTGCCTCCTTATGTCAGCATTGCACCCGGGTTGAGACGGGTTTTCCAGATGTTCTCATTACGCATCGAAACTCCATAATGCTCACTTGTTGACGCTATCTTTTGGACGGTTGCAGGAAAGATGTCAAGGACGAGTTCCAAGAACGGACTATTGCGAGGGGAGAAGCCTTTGAGGTAAGTCGGATTGGTGTTCGAGTAAGCGGTCAGTTCGGAGGGCGGGACTACCGACACATTTTGATGAGACGCTTTTGGTTGAGACACCCGGTTTGTATCGATCGAGCACCTTAGTGCGGATTCAGGAGTCTTAACATCCTAAAAACCCAAACCTTGAATAGTAAAGTCAGTACCGTATCTGCTATGAGCTGTTGATGACGTGCCGGGTGCTCCATACCGTCGTTCCCAAGTCACGAGACTCCAGGGAAGAATACGGAAAACTGTGAAATAGTCGATCCAAATGGTTAGGTGGATCTATGATCTGCTTGCAAGATGGTCAGATTTAAGTTCTGGGAGAGACGCCTGTTGCCTTGCTCTTGCAGGTGACCTTAGCCACGGAAGGGGAGGGAACCATGATCGCGTGGGACTTCAGCGTGGATGGTCGGCGAGTAAGAATCGAGCGTATCTCTAAAAAGCACCGTTTTCGAATGGAGCGAGTGCTCTTTCTTTCCACATGATTGTATTTGCGAAGGGTTTAGACTATTGCAGGTGTGCCACGCCGAGAGTCTGATGGAGGCTCCTGGTTTTTAAACTGCAAGAGAGAAGCCTCCTTCAATCAAATTGGTTTTCAAATGCCAAGGGCCTGACAAGCGCACATAAACGTAAGAGCGATCAGGACCTTTCAGGTTGACACCTGTTGGTTTAGGAGTTCTAAAAGCCGATTTTGAAGGCCGATTCAACTCAGTGCTTCTGAATGAGGAGGCTATGATGGGGTGTAAAAACGAATTCCGTGTCCGTACGCTTTGCGGCTGTCTGAAGTCGATTCATCCACCGAATTGTTCTCCGGATGCTGAAAGTGCTTTCTCCTCTTCGCAGGACGTCGGGTTCAGTGTGGACTACGCCGATGAGAACAAGGTGAAAATGGTGAGACCCGCTCGCCTGAACCCCCTGAGGTCTGCAGCAAGGTTAGGTTGCCCCTCGTTTCTCAAACCTACGTTCTTTACTCCTCTCGGCTCAGATTCTGCGAAAGGCATTCCTCATGGGTCATTGTGAACGTCCCAAGATTGACTTCCGTGCTTGCAGCCAATGCTGCCATACACCCGCTACGAGTCCCACCAAGGCCACTTCTTTTCGTTGGGTGCCGGGAGCTACACGTTGAAGTGGGACAATAGCTACTCCATGATTTACAGCAAAGTTGTCAAGTATAAGACGGAAGTCGTGCCTCCTGCTGAGAGTATTGCAGCGTCGGACGACAGCATAGCTCAGAAAGGGAAAGGCGATGCGTCATAGGACAAAGCTGGACAGTCCTACAGGTCGATAATCGGTTTGCCACTGGATTTGCGCACCCATCCTGGATCAATAGTGCAGAGGATAGTGATGTCACACATCCTGTACATGCATTGCTTGCTCATGCTCTTCAACGTGCGAGACTGAATGTAACACATGAGTTGTACTCTTTAAATCGAGTTACTCAGTCGAAAGTGCATGATCAATCAAGTGCTTAAAGTAGAATGGCCTGTGGAGCAGTATAACTTCATTTGGAATCTGTATAACATGTTACATGGTTCGAGATCCAATTTCAGACTTTTGCAAGACCTTTACACAATGATAGAGGAGCTCGAGCTCGCGCTTCGTCCAAGACATTGCATGTACCGTATCTTCTATTGCAAATTGTATGTATGGATAAAGGAAATCTCCCTTCATGTATGATCGCGCGTGAATTCTGAACCATAATTGGCTGAGCCACTAATAAAATCGGTTGACGACAAAATGATTCTTACATGGACGTACCTACTGTCAGAATGGTACGTAGTACTGGCTTGCTTGGATACGGTTCTGTGTGTCACGTGGGTACCTGCTACAGTACTAAGGTACCTGACACACACCTACCGTACTGTGACCGCATCCGAAAAAACGGCTCATGTTTCATGGGACGCCAGTACTCGCAAGGTCACAGTACCGTCAACCGTCGACTGACATATTTGTCCGTGTGGACACGTGGTACGCGGCAAGTGCAGAGAATCTGACACGTGGCAAGTAGGTTTTGGGCATTAAATTGCATGCGATCGACGGTAATTGCCGTCTGCTGCTCAATCGGACGACTGGAAGTGCACTGGATAGGGAACTGTTGCCTGTTAAATAGGTAGGTAATATCACGTAGGATAGGTAGGTACGGTAGATATGATTCTCATGGAACCGGGGACACGGCAGTGGGCACCCGGCGCGAGCCAACGCACAGCTGGGCGCCGTATCGTATCGGGCCCCTCCCTGGGAGTCGGAGTCCCTGTTCTGGCCTGGTAACCTGGGTAACACCTGCATCCCGCCCGCGGGCCGACACGTGCACACCCATAACCGTGCGCTGTACGGCGTACGGCCGGCCCGCGGGCCGCGGGCCGCTACTAGGATCACCTTCAACCGGGCCACCACGGTAGCTGAGTCGGACTGACAAACTACCGCACACCACTGGCACAGGTAGGTATCCTACAGTTTCCTACTGTTCTAGTGTGATTGGCTGAGACTATTACGAGACCTCATCGTCTCAGACCTTTCATGGTTGCACCTTCGATCTGAGCTTAATTCATTGAGCAACCACACATGGCTCGTACACGCGACGCCCCGGATGCGGGTCGCATGCCGTGCGGCACGGCCCTAGTTCTGAAAGAGAGCATAATATGAGATTGACATCAATGATACGCAAGAAGCGTGGTGCTGCACGCAGTCTGGCTCCGCTTCGGGGCGAGCATGGCCTCTGCTTGCTCTGCTTCGTTTCTGAGAATCTACCAGCTTGGGCTATCGTACAGGGATGACCCGGAGTAAGCAATCTGTGTTGAGGCCCTGGCTGGAATCAGGGGCCGACTGCTTTTGCGACTATAGGCTCTTTGAATGTCTGAGCACAAAAGCTGAGAACTTAAGGGACTTGAGCGCTTCGCAGCTGTTGCTGCTCGTCAGTGACATCGAGCTCGTTGTTATTCAATCAAGGACTTCAAAATGGACATCGCAGGAAGGCTGTAATGTGCCCCCTCCCTGCTTGCAGAATGCGCAACAAAAACTACTAGCTCCTTCTCACCTGCCTGCACAACAGGTTTCCCTGGCGTTTTGACGCCACCCGCAAGCTGTTCAGAGAGATCAATCTCAGCAGGATAGAAGAACCTCAGGCTTTTCTACAAAATACTTTCCTTAGATGCAGTTTGCAGAGAACTCCAGGTCCTTCCTATCAGATAATCCTGCGAGTTGGTTGTTCGGCGTTTGATGCCTTGCTAGCAGCATGATGGGAGGAATTCCTTGTTCTGGGGGAATACAACGAGCTGAAAAGGCATGGAAGCACAGCACAGGGGCGTTGGGTGAAGTGCCGCTCATTGTGATTGAGCAGCATGAAAAGCATCAATAATGTGGAAATGTAGGATGTGAGCAAACATGCAGATCAACAGCGTTGGAAAGTACGTGAGCCGGCTCTAATGAGCTCAGACATACTTGCAGAGAAGCTCAACTCAATCAGCACAAATCAGCTGAGTTGTCCAGACTTTGGAGCCAAGTCACTAGATGCCTTTACGTGATCCATCCCGAAAAGGAGGATCCACCGTCAAAGGGGTAGTCATGGGGGAAGAAAGACAGGCATCCATGTCCCTGGAGCACAGGAACCGGGGTGGATTTGACCATATGGTCTTGATCACTCGACTGGGAATCATGGTAATAAGCTGTCCTTAAAGAAGCTGTGCCCAGCCTGAATTGGTATACTTGAGGGTAGATGCAATAGAAAGTGCCATGGTGCTAGAGGCGTGAAGTGACTTGACTGAATCCAGGATATTGGAGGCAAAGCCAGGGTCCTTTGCAAGAGCTCAGTCCTTCTCATACCATCCTTGTCACTCTTTCTGTAATATCCTTCACGTCAGCAATGAACAGAGTCACAGACCGGTTCCTCCCTCTGAATCTCTCCGCCCCTGCACACCAATGTACTCTTGTCATACTGATCGGTTGATCATTTGTTTCCAGAAGGACGTGGAGGTATTTTACCATCTTGCCTGCTGCTGAGCCCCAGAGTCTGGTCGACAAGGCTTTCCAAAGTTCTACAGGCAACGCCTGTGCTTCTTAGATGTAAGATTATGCTTCACCACCCTGACTCTTGCTTCTCCTCTGCATCCAGGTCCTTATGTGTGTGTTGGTCGCAGCCATGTCCTTTTCGACCTGGTATCAGATGGATGTCACGGCGCGGCGCAACATTGAGCGACTGACTGGAGAGAATCAGGCGCACTCTCTCGACTTCGGTGCAAGGTCTTTCTCAAAGTATCTGAGCGCGACAACGCAGATGGCCAGGCAAATTGCAACGACTATGGCCCTATCATCGACTATACGGACTGCTAACCTGACAAAGATCAGCGTGATTGAGCAGGAGGTAAGGATCCATGTTGTGCCTACTCTTTGTTGAAGGTCAAAGGGTGGCAGGTCATTCATGCAGCAGATACCAAGATGTAAGAGACTTGGTTTGATGTCACAAGCATCCCTTTCAACATTGAGCTGTCGCCAAATTGTGCACCTTGAATCCATTGCAATGATGGTACATTCAACGAGCGAAATGCGGCTGTAATGCATCCAGCTCTCAGCACAGAAAGGCCACTCAAGCTTAAAAGTCTGTGGTCGTGCGAGGCACACCAACTTTCACAGTCTAAACAAGCAGCAACAGTATCCAGATGCTGAAGGGAAGGTTGCCAGATTTGCACCTCGGCTTCAAGTCCTCTTAGAGCTGATGCCTACCGAGCAATGGGTCGTAAGCTCTGTCTCTTCGTCCAACGTTGAACGGAAAATTCTGTTCATTGCATGTTTTGTCAAAACGTTGTGTCCCTACTAGTATACAATCACTCATTTTCTTGTCTACTTTCCTGGCTTTAGAAGAAGACTCAATCCGTTTGCAACTTTACAAAGTACAAAGAGTCGTTCAGCTAAATCAAGCCGAAGTCTGCGGTTTTCTCATTGATTTTTGCACAGGTATTTGCTTGATTGAAAGTGCTTCGTAGGGCAGCATAGGTTCAACATTGAAGCATGCCAGATTAATTACCGAATGTCGGTCGCTTTTTTCCTTCTCCGAGCTCCCAAGCTTTTCATGCCATTTCCTGTTTGAAGCTCCCCTTCTTGCCTTTAGCATTTCTAGAAAAGAAGTCCCTTAATTTTGAACGCTTTCGACTTCCTGCCGCGCTTCTCGTGCTCCGTTTTGGGGCACACTTCCCACCATGGGGTTTCACGTCCCCTCGCCTATTTCTTTCGATGCCAAGGGGTGGAAATACGCTCTCATATACGCACATCACCCTGATTCCAAACCTCTTCGTCTCCAGGTCTCTCCTCTCATCCTGGCAACTCTCCTGTCGTCCCCGAACGCCAGCTTCTGCCGATTCCAGACTCTAGACGGCCTTGTCAGCGGCTTCCGGCGCTTTGACGACGGCGCCATCCGGCACTTTTTCGCCAACCGTTCGAGCCCCCCCCCGAGCAGCTCGACCGGGTACTCGACCATGCCTTTGTTCATTCAAGACGTGGACCTGTTCGGTAACCCGACCTCCCGGCCGAAACCTGCGGCCCCCGGGGACTTCAGAGAGACGGCACCGTACAGGGAGACTATGATCACCGGGAAAATGGCCTGGGGCCTCGTTGTGAGTAGTGCCGGTCTCTGCTTGATTGGTGGCAGCAAAAGCTATGAGACGGTGTTGCTCAACCGCAAAAGACAATCCCTGGCACCTTCGATTCAGCTATAGGCTGGTCGTGCTCAGGCTTCTAGTTGGGACCATATCATACACAGAGCTGGCGCAAGGACACTGCTGGGGTACAAGATATGCGGCAACTCTGAAACGGTCAGGTTGATCAGACTTCGCAGGTTCGGATTGTCCTCCAAAACTAAGTCGTTGGTCCAAATCCAACCACCAAAAACAAAATACGCACTTTCCCTTGCATCTTCGACCAAATCAGCCTTGCCTCCTTTGGTGCAGTGGGCCTACAATAGTACCTTAGTCTTCCTGTCTGCTCAAGTGGTCAGGAATCCGGTTACCAACGTAACCCTCGGAGTCGCGCTGGGGACATCGACCACCGTCACGCTGACGACTCTCCTCGCGAGCATCCGGCCACAGCACGCCGGACTCTTGTACGTCTTTGAAGCAGAAAGCGGAAGGCTGATCTCCAGCTCGGACATGAGCGGACTCTACAACTCGACGGTCATCAGTAAGAAATCCTGATCCCTCCTGGTTACGCTTTCGGAAACAGAAAAGCACCAATTGATTTTGAGTCTGCTTCAACAGATGTTATCGTTTGCTGTTGCTTCTGAGTTAGCCAATGGTGGAGGCTGCAAGTTTATGTAAGGAAAGACTAGGCACAGCTAAGAGAAAGTCGACTTGGTGGAGTCGCGTTTCATACGAAAGATACGTCGATAATATCCATGGGGGTACCTAGTTTCAATGGTTCGTTTCGAGCAAGCTAAGCAGTTCATACTGTAAGGGGTATCACATCGACAATCCTCAAGGGCTCTCACTGGAGGCTTGCAGTATTCTCCTCAAGCAAATAGCGACTCGATTGGCGTTCTTATCACCCAAGGTCGGTACACTTCCTTGGGATTGCCCTGCAGTAGACTCACATAGGTTAAGCTGAGAAAAGTTTCTTGTACAAGGGAATTTGCTCTGGGCAACCTGGCTCAGTTTGTCGTCCAGGAACGTTTTGTGAAATTATAACTTTTTGTGTTGACCGCAGCTTCGGAGTCCTTGATCGTGCTGGCTGCAAACGCCTCCAACCCGATCATGCGCGACTCCGCGCGCTTTCTTGTTGCTGAAGCGGCTGTCGAAGGCTGGCCTGAGCTTGGGGTCACGAGCTTTCATGATAACGTGCGATTGGCTGGGGGCGAGTACTACCTCTCCCATCTCCAGATTGTGGTCGAAGCCAGAACACTGGTGCGTTATTCTGGATCCGCTCCACTCTCAAGCTTCATCGAAAAGGATTGCAGCTTTGCGCTCTTCTTGATCTGCTTGTGTCAGCACACCCTAAAATCCTTTGAGTTGTCCCAGCTCTCCAAATACTTGGTCCGTTATTTCCCCCTAAATAACGCGGGAGAAATTTGCCTTCTCCTTACCGGGCCTTACCAACGAAAAAGCTCTTCGGCGGTTGGCGCTAATGTTCAAGCTAGCATCGCTGGCTATAGCTCTGCTGAGCCTCAGCCTGCAAGTCAACGGCTAGCCCGCAACCCTTAATCTCACGTGGTTAGCACCTATCTGCGCCACTTTACACCGCTTCAGGTTACAATTATGCCCATCCCTGCTCATTCTTAAATTGCACAGTTTACACCTCTTACAGGTCACGGTTATGGCCATCCCTCGGTCGGTCGTTTGGGACGACATCGACAGAACTTCCAGCCGTGAGCTGACTATCATCAGCGCCACTACGGCCGGGGTTCTCGTCCTGGGTTGCGTGCTGATTGTGCTGCTAACCTGCCGGGTTAGTCGGGAGATGCTCCTCCGGGCGGAGCTGATCAACAGTCTGCAGCTCAAGGAGAAGGCGGAGAAAGCTTCAGACTACAAAAGCCAGTTCCTGGCGGCCATGAGCCACGACGTGCGGACGCCCCTCTGCTGCATCATAGGTGAAGCGGGACGTCTAAACCCGAAACTTCATGTAACTTTTTGTTTAAGTGTGCTTCGGCAACTCGACGAGTCGCATGACTCTGCCTCTAAGGCGGAAGCAGGTAAGGTGGAGGGAATCCAATCAGCTAACGTCGAAAAGATGTTGATCAATCGGTGCACGGAAAACATTTGGCGCCAGATGAAGTTCAATGTCGCCTCTTCTTTTCTGAAGCAAAGAGCGACTGAAGCGTGTCCAGACTTCCACTCGATGCTCTAGAGAGATCTCAGGTGCTCATCTCGCCGTTGGACCTTACAGTTTTAGACTCCAATGTTTCGGCAGCAGATTGTGCCGAAAATAAGGGTGTCATGTGATTAAAGGAGCAAGCAACATTCTCAAGCTCCGAGCCTCTGTCGCACATCTAGACTTACTCCAGGCTTGCTGGCAAGGCTGCTTAGCGACAGTCGGTTGCCATACGAGCAGCACAGCCCTTCTTTTCTGGAACTGCATGGCCTCTTCGTATTGAGCACTCGACCCTTATCTTTGAACATCTCAAACGAATCTTGTACTGAACCCTCATCCTTCAACATCTCACATGAACGTATATTCGTTTCAGGCTTGCTGGAGGTGCTGCTGGGTGACAGTCGGTTGCAGAACGAGCAGCGCAGCAGTCTGAAGCAGGTCCGGCTCTGCGCGCTGCAGCTGCTGGACCTCCTCAAATCCATCCTCGACCTGTCCAAGGTGAGCTGTCCTTAGCGGAAGGCTGCTCGCTCGGGCGGTTTTGGTGGCTCCTGCAATCGAGATTGCAGGCCTTCTACTATTAAACTAGAAAGTCACAATCTCGATCTTCGTGGAGCATCTTTCTAGACAGTCGACTTTGGTGTTCAAAGCGACTCTGCCTCAAACCAGAAGTCGATGCTCATATACCTATCTTTCCGGTTTGTGCTCTACTCGAAAGGTGAGTCAATAGTATGCAAGCGCGAGCAGCACGTCTGGCATTCTTGGAGCAATGCCGCCGCGTTGCATTTTGCGGCCGTGAAAGAATGCGCCGTAGGTTTTGCCTTGCAGCTACCTGACAACTATTCCACGGGCCCATAATAATTCCTGGTCCCCAAACTCGCGTCCAATCAACCTGCTAAAGGGAGATGCTGTTACTAAAGTATCATCGAGAAAAATGAAATCGGCACTCTCAGGTACATTTGCAGGGCGGCGTAGAGATCCTGCATCCTCTTAACCGGCAAAACCGAGCTGCTTCGCCTATCTCATTACCATGTCTCAACAACGCTTTCGACGCTTTCGGAAGATGTCCCTTCCGCGGACTTCGGCCGCGTCCCCTGCGCTTACTTGCGGACGCTGACGTTGGTTGACGTGGACATCCAGGTGGAGACCGGCAAGCTGACGTTGGAGACGGGCCCGTTTGATCTGGGCCAGGAGCTGGAGGCGCTGGTGGACATGTTCGCGGTGCAGTGCGCCAAAAAGAATGTCGCTCTAGCTCTCGACCTGGACGACTGCCTGCCGCGCAGGGTCGTCGGGGACTGCGCGCGCGTGCGGCAGATCCTGGCGAACCTCGTGGGGAACGCCGTGACGGTGAGTCTCTGGGCATATACTCTCTCCCCTCCTATGTGAAGGACCTTCACGAGACTACTATGGGGCCATGATCGCCTTCACTCAATCATAAGAAATGAGCAATTGTGATCGCCAAAGCTGTGGATCTGTGAAAAGGTGCCATTTATCGTAGCTTTCCCCTTCGATTCAAACGCTTTGTGCGCAGGCCAAAGCCGACTCATCTCCAGCAAGGTTGGAGCATCGAAACTCTGGTGAAGCCTGATATTATTGATGATCCTCTCTGCAGTTCACACACGAAGGCCACATCGTGGTCCGCGCATATCTCTCCGGGTCGCAAGGCGCCCCAAGCTCGCCGAAGCCGCTCCCCAAAGTGCTACGCACGTTGGCGCGAACGGTGTCGAGGAAGCTGAGCTTAAACCAGGTCCGCGCGTCGTCCGGCGACGAAGGCCCTCGAGACAGCGGACTATCCACTTGGATCGCGGAGTATGCAAACAAGCTCAAAGCGGTCATACTGCCCGGCGGGAAGGCGGAGCGGTCGAGAAACATAACGGTCGTCTTCGAAGTCGACGACACCGGTGAGTTGCTTGTTACTCGCGATTACTTACAGGCTGCAGGTTACAAAATGGAGTCACGGTTCGCGAGAGCTAGCTTGCGTTCTTCTTCATGAGAATCTCCAAATGTGCGTGCCATTTGAGGTGACAAAGTAGCTTCGGAACCACGGAATTGATCCGCACAGTGGCACCTATTTCGTCAGAACACTCTTCTACCACCTCTCTCATTACATACCGTCACAGCTATTCTTCCAGAATACCTTGTGCTCCTACTTGGTGCTCCTATTTGTTCACCTGCTCCGCCATAAGTTTCTCGTCACATGTTTCCACAATGCTTACAGACCTTGTTCTTACACTTTCCAGGCGTGGGGATCCCCCCCAGCCGGCGGGAGACGGTCCTCGGGAGCTCCACCCAGGGCTCACGTCACCGCTTTTACAAATTATTTCCTATTCGTCACACGTTTCCACTATGCTTAATAACCTTGTTCTCCTATGTCTAGGCGTCGGCATCCCCCCCAACCGGCGGGAGACGGTGCTCGGGAGCTTCACCCAGGGCTCGCGGCACAGCGGCGGGTACGGCCTGGGCCTCGCGATGGTCAAGAACCTGGTCGCAATCATGGGGGGCGCCATCCGAATCGAAGACAAACAGGGGCCCGGCAGCCTCTTCCGGTTCCACATCACTCTCGAACTCTCCCCGGAGCATTCCACCGAGCAGGACGCGAACGCGAGCTACTGCCCTACACCCATAGCTACACCCAAAGGGGCGCCCCGAGGTTTCGGGGAACGGCTAGCCGGGCGCAAGACCGCGCGCGTCGCGCCGCGGCCGTCCGCCGGGTCTAACGTCAGCACGACCGACTACATGCGCCAAGAGGTTTCCTTGCTCCCTCAGCTGGAGGGAAGCAGCGTCCTGCTGCTGAAGGGGGACTACGTCGGGCGCGAGGCGGCCGCGGCCTGGATGGCGCGCCGACATTTGAGGGTTTACGAGGCCGAGCGGTGGGGCGGGCTGCGGGAGACGTTCCGGCGTCTGCTCGGGAAGACCGTCCGGAGTTCCACCGAGGGGCTGGACGCGGATGCGGACCCATCAATAGGACCCATCAATAAAGCTAGCCAGGGTGGCCCCGTCCGAAGGCCGTCCGAAATAAGGAGCAGCGAGACGGACGAGATGTCCAGCAAGAGCGTGTTGTCAGCGGGCGACCAGCTCTTCGGACAGCTCCTCGACCGCGATCAGACTGACCGGGGCACTTCACAGGGGCCCATTCTCCTGATTCTGGACACTGCGGTCGTGCCCGGTTTCCCCTCCCCCGAGGCGCTCTCCATCGCGCTGCGCTCGCTCATGGAGGGCTACGATCCGACGGCCGTGAACGCGCCACGTGTCATGGTGGCGTGGCTCGTGTCGTTCGCGCTGCCCGGCGCGATCTACGAGGAGATGCGCTGCGCCGCCGGCTGCCGCATCATCACGTACGACGTCCTCCACCCGTCCCGCCTGTTATCCCTACTAACCGCCATGGTTAGCGATAATCCGAACCCGGATTCGCTGCTGGGGAGTGCGCTCCCAGCCGCGCCTCCGGTGCTCTCCAACAAGGCGTCCAAGAAGGTACAAAAGTCCAAGAGATCAATTATTTTGAACGAAGAGGAGAGGGAGGAGCTCATGATCCAAGCGGGCATGGCGTTCGCCTCGACTCGAGGCGCGGTCGATGAGAAGGGGCCGGACAGCACGGCCAATCCAGCCGCGTCTGCAAACTCTTTCAGCGTGAAGGCCGCTGACAGTCTCCCGCGGATACCCAACCCGATTGCAAACGGCGTTACGGGAATCAGAGCAACCTCTACTCTACAGCCAGTATCAAGAGTTATCCGTAACCCGGTTCCTAAGGGTGAGCCAAAGGAGATAGTAAGCCCCGGGCATGAGCCCGGGGGAGCGGACCTGGCGCTGGCGGGGGTCCACGTTCTGATCGTAGAGGATACGGTGATGCTGCGGAAGCTGGCGACTACCATCCTTACCAGGGTTGGCGCGAAAGTCTTCGCGGTCGAGAACGGGCGGCAGGTGGGTTTTCTGGTCTAGTAAAGATCCCTTGTCTTTCGAAGGTTTTGAGGCTCTGGTTGGAGGATTGAAGCATCTGCCTTGACATTTGAAGCTCCCAAAGTGAAAGAAGCTCACTTGTACTAGAGAATGGAACAACGTCAGTTTCGAGGAGGAGTAGATGAATTTTGGGGCGGCCTCCCCACTTAATACGTCACCCGCGATAATCGGTGCAGTGCTTGTACGTTGGTCAGATGCGTCTCAAATGTTTTACGGTCCCGTATGTCTGTCTCGAATCTCAAATGCTTGCAAAGTATCTGGTAAGTAGCGTTACCAGATTTGGTCCTTGGCGCTTGAAAGACTGTGCCAGACGCCAACAGGAGCTGCCCGCCTGATTGTATCTTCTGACAAGGTTATGTTACGATGTCCTTCAATCGAACACGTTCAAACTGCCCTGCTCTTTACTTTCTTAAATCGAACTTTCGAAGGCCAACGACAGACACGAGACAGTGTGGTGAGGTGGTGTGTCCAAGCTCGGGTCCCTCCGTCGAACCATCTCATTCAATAAGCTGGGTCCCTGTTTTTTCTCAGGCGGTCAACGCTATCCTGACTGCGATGGAGATCCAGCTGGGCGCCCCGAAAGCCACCCCCTCGCTGTCCGAGTTTGGCCCCCCTGCGGACGCTCTCGCGGAGGCCCTGCGGACGTCCGGCTGCTTCGATCTAGTTCTCATGGACTGCCAGATGCCGGTGCTGGACGGCTACGGCGCAACCACCGAAATCCGGCAACTAGAGGAGGGCGAAAAAGTACACGTGCCCATCGTGGCGCTGACGGGTGAGCCCTGAAAGCGGCAGCGTTTGCTTTTGACTTTGCCACGCTGTTTTACAGGTCGTAAACCGTTCACTTGCAGAAACATGAACGGGCAGCGTGAACGCGCAGAAGAGAGGAAGAGGCCGTTCGACCTCAGCTTGGAAACATCCTTCTGACTTTGGCCTGAAGGCCCTCTCGAGAAGCTCGAGTCCGGCCGTTCACCCTTCTTCGGGTGGGATTTGAACGAACAGATGTACTATATGGGAATCAGGGCCTGTAAGCCAAGGTCTGGAAGCCGACCCGCCTCGTGGGTCCTCGCTTCCCTCGGGGCGAGAAGTTTGAAGAGCCGCTTCGCTGACACAAGACGCCTGGAGGGCGACTTATGACAAAGGCAAACCTTATGAAACGCTTACATGGAATTTGTGCAGCGCACGCCATGGCCACGGACAAGGAGAAGTGCCTCGGCGTCGGGATGGACGGGTGAGACCGCAATTTGTCGCCCCGCTTTTCTGCCTGCGATCCACGAACCTGCTCGTCAAGGCTTGGTTGCTAGCTGTTTGTCCTGCCGATTCTTGGAGCTGTTTCGCCCCAGGATATGTTGGACTGATGTTGCCTTCAAGGCAGATTCAGCAGGTCTGCATCCTAGGCAAGCTTGTGGCAACCAATGATTCAGCGATGCAATCAGAATTCAAAGTGGCGTCCATATCGTTCAGAGACTTAATAGCGATAATAGCGGCATCAGAATTATAGCGGCATCAGAAGGCTTTTGGTCAGAGCACTGGTTCAACGAAAAGCATATAGGATTTCAGCGAGCACACCACCGGCTTGAATCTTTACATCTAAGAAGACCTTATCACAGCCCAAGTCCCCTCCGCTTTTCGTTCATATGTAATCACGCTCTCAACTGGACAATACAACCTGTTTGACCATCGTATCCCTGCGTAGGCCCTTTCAAAGCTTGGTTCCTACGTTGCTTCCTTTTGCGATCAGGTACCTCACGAAACCAATCAACGTGCCGTTGCTGGTGAGCACCATCAAGAGCTTCGTCAAGCGGGAGGCGGCTACTTGACGCACGTTGAACTCGATTGCAGCGGCGGGCTAGTAGTATAGTAGGCCTTTCGTAAAATAGTAAGAGAAAAAGCCCCGAAAAGCGCGCGGATGTAACCGAGATGCAGCTTGGCGCGCGGCCCTGCTTGTCGTTGGCGTTTAGGATGAAGGGGCGGTCAGAGCAGGGGTAGGAATTGTACAAGTAAAAGTAGGCACTCTTTGCATGCTGCAAGGCAGGCTTCTATATTGGGGTTTTGAAGCTAGTAGCTTCCATAAGCGGGCTTTTGTAATCAGAGGCCCGATGCATTAGTTTGTAAGCATACTAAGGACGGCGCGGCTGTGCCCGGGTGCAAATAGTTTATGCATAGCGATGCAGACAATCTATAGAAAGCGTATCGCAGAGCAAGTGCTCAAAGGCACGTTCGTGTTTATTTTCTTGCATTAGTAGGCACTGGATATGGCCTGAACCTGTCGTCTTGAGCATAGGGCAGCAGGATGGACGAGGTCAGTAGTAGTAGTACACGCAGGGTGTGCAGAAGTGGTTACATAACAAAGACGTTAGTCATTGACGCTGTCATGTATGAGCCTGGCATCAGCCCTGAAGCTTCCATTAGTGTAGCTTGGTCTAGGAACTTGGTTGCAACACATCCCCATCGAACTAAACATCTTAATAACCAACTGAAAGCATATCAGAACGATTGATTGAATCATAGGAGATTTTGCATGCAACAAAATACTACACTCCGAGTCAGGGCAGGACTTCAAGATTCAGCTAGCCGCATGCTTTGCCGTTTATAACGTTCAGACAGCATGAAAAATTGATACTCAGAAACGTCCTTGACAACCTTGAAGTGCATTGAAGGAACCGTTCGGAGTCGACTGTCGTACGGGTACATGGTTAATCATATAGTTGAAACTTGCTGACGCTATTGAATTGCTAGGCACTTATACAGCTAGCTCATTAGATAGCAGGTCATCTTTGGATCGAAGCGAGTGAGTCATGTGTGCAGGCGGCAGATCCTGCAAGCTACAACAATTGCAAATTAATGCAGATCGTCCGCGCAGAACATGATTTCGACAGAGCACTACCTCTCTTTGGGTGCAGCCCTTACCTGGCCTCAAGCAGCTCACCATGTGCATGACACTTGATTCACTTAGGCTTCCTATTGAACACAAGCTCACTGCTTCAGTTCCTTATATCGACCATCGCAATGGTGCAATCTGTATATATATGCTGGCGTCATCGCGATATTGTACTCAAAATCCATCAGCTTCAGGATTCCCGTGTGGTGCGTGCTGGTCGCGACAGAATTGATGCAGTTTGAGCTCACGAGATGATGAGCCTCTACTGTAGTTTAAAACATTATAGGGGAAGCTAATAACCGGAAACTTGAAATTGTTGCGTTGCACGCCGGGTGGCCAGTTGAGCGCGCGCGGCCCGCCCGCGACCGTACATTAATTCGATAAGTATTGTACGCGATTGCCCCTCAATGTGACAATCGAACGATGGGCGGCCGCCCTTGCATGTCGATCGACGGCTATGACTGCTGACTGATAGGCTGCGCGCGCGACCCGGCAAAGGCTGGTGAATACAACTTTACCTTCAAGTTCTGCCAGCAGGCTGAAAAGCTTCAAGCGAAGAATACCATACATAAGATATACCATACATAGATTATCTTTAAAGTGGGCGTAGGGCTCGCGAGCTCACCTGGAAACTTTGGACGATGCTAACAGCTGAGTTGAATTTATCGGACGGTCCACCGCTAGCCTCTACAACCCGCCCTCAGGACTCAGTCTCACTAGTGTGCTTATGAGATCCGACGCCCACTTTGAACGGTAACAAGTTCAGGGGGTCTCTTGAACGCTTGCTGTCCGGAGCTGAGCTATGCAAGGGTCTCACCTCAATCTGGCATCTGCTCCAAGCTTTCTTCTTGCAGCCCAAGTATGTTTGACTTCCGTGTAATTCTGTCGACGTCCGACATACCTAGTTCACCAACAGTGCATGAGGACTTACGCCATGATGCAAGGCGCATTTCGGGACCTGCCTGCAGCGTTGATTCACGGACAAACAGGTTTACAGCTGGGTTGGCGTGCCAAGTTCCAAAAAATACATAGCAGTGCATGCCCAAGCTAAGTAGGTAGCTCTGCAAGCTAGAGTCTTCTGAGGCCAGTCTGCTGGCTCCTCTGATCAATCAGACAGCATTCCTGTCTGATCAAATTGAAGGGGTTTTGCATGAGCAGAATGCAGCATTCTAAGGGTTTCAAGCCAGGCATTCGTCCACGGAGCGCTGTGCCCCAGCCTGTGAAGGGGATTCCACCACCAAGACCAGCTGGCCCAAAGTTTGCTTTTGCTGAGCTCCCAATCAGGTGAGCTGCTAGGAGACAACGAGCTCTCCCGCATGAAGAACGATTCACATGTTGGCTGTGTTTGAAGGACGGAAGGCTTGCATTTGATTCAACTCAAAGTTAACATACTCTTTGCAGGTATGCCGAGACTATGCCATTGTCCTGTGATAGCAACGGTGGCATATGTTTTGCATGCACTCGACGCTGACTGTTACTCAAAAAACCTTGAAACCTGGCAAACTACCAGGTTGTAGGCGCTTGGAGACATACGAAAGCCCTACCAACAACCTGCAGCACATTCAACGACACCTGCACACTGATTCACTCCTTTGTTCTCAACACTCAAAACATGCATTGGTATCAAATGATCGAGTAAGAGTTGCGCAACAAGATACGAAGTGTGCGAGCTGTCCCTTTCTGTGCAGGGAGCACGACAACTCTGCAAACAGAGCGCACAAGAGCCTGCTGAAGGGCCTGGAAAATCGAGACAAGGAGAGCCTTGCTGAGGAGATAGCGGCGCTGCGCAAGGAGCTGTTGGAGACCAAAGAAGCAGCCACCAGGGTCAAGCAGGAGAAGCAGCGGAGGGAGCGAGACCTGCACTTGCTCGGCAAGCAGGTACGCTCCTTGGAGAAAGTCATGAGGAGACTGGTGGATGAGTGGAAACTGAGCGCTGGCGGCATTTTCAGATTACTAGACGCAAGCCTATGATTATCTTTTCTGATGCTACCTGGTAGAACTAAGATTCATTGCTTGTCAAGGGGTTTTGGAGAGTGATTGAGGATGAGGCTGGGGGTTGGTTTACTGCGGTGATCCGACTGAGAAAGTGGTTCTTCGTAGATTTCGACTTGCTGAAAACCTGCCTGAATGTTGTGGGAGAAACAAAGGAGTACGACAAAGTGGTTCAGGATGAATATGGTCCACAGTCCGGCAGACTGTTCGTAACCGTTTGCAAATCTCTCTTCCAGTATGTTGCAGGGCAGGCGCCATAAGCTTTCCCCCTCCGCTCCTGTAATAATTCCTCACGCCAGGCTCTTTGCACTTATGCAGTTGGAGGACCTGAAGTCTCAGCAATTGCTGAACGCACAGCAAGCAGAGAAGCAGAAGAAAAGGGGCGGGAAGGGTCACCACGACGAGGAATTGAATGACCTGCACTGCACCTTGCAAGGCGCAGCGGAAGAGGAAGAAACCGCAGAAGTGGATGAGGAAAGTGCGCAGTACATAGGCCAGTTGCAGCGGCTGAAGAGCGTTCTGGAGCTCTTTCGGCAGCAACAGGTGAGATACAGGAACTTGTGATGCATTGACACTTCAGGAGTAGTTAGCTTCAGGATTAGTAAGATTACCAGCCTGGGACGGGTAGGGTTAGATTGGGGGTTTAGGGTGGTTACGGGTACGGAGCAGGTAATTTTATTAGGTTAGGTTTTTAGTCTTTGGTTTGAGCTTACTATTCCTTGAGCTCACTAGTCCTGAAGTGTCACGACATGAACTTGTGGATCTTGACCGTGTTCGTTTGGAGGCTCTTCACAGTGGGTGTTGATATCTGATAGAAGTTGCACGTAAAACGGACCGCGTCAGAATAGTGACGGCCGTTTGACGGGGTCTCGGTCCGGTAAGCTTGAAAGGGACGGGCACATGTGACGTCGAGTCCGCAGAAACTGGAGACCGAGCCTGGCATAAAGCAAGCTTTGACAAGCTTTGCTTGGGAAAGATGTCGTCCACACACTTGATACAGCTCCGCTTGTCTTTGAAGAATTAGTGCGCGTATCCAATTTCCGCAAAATTTGGGTAAGCGAAGAATTCCAGCACACTGGTCAACAGTCTCCAATCTAAGCGGTAAACGCTGGACTTTCCTTATTATGGGTGTTGAATTCACGTTCCTTCTCTTGTGGAGCGCAGGAAAATGGCGCTGCGAACAGCGTCCTCGTCGAGAAGCTCAGAGCCCGGGTGCAAGAACTAGAGGCGGCAAACTTGCGGCTGGAGGAATGGACGACGACAATGAAAGTTACGCTGGAGACGGCGCACAGGGAGTGTGTACAGGTGACGACTAACTCGAGAAGCTCTCTGAAGAGGAAATCAAATCAGTCAAATTGTGTTTGCAAAGCTAAAGCCGATTAGCCCGGTTCCAGGTCCTCGGACGGATATTCTGACCGCAGGCGTTGGCGAATCTTGTGTGTTATGTTCAAGGCTTTCAAAGCTGCTAACGGACGCCTTGTCTAAAAAGGCATCAATTCCGACTGACTCTATACTAGTCTGCCTCTTGATTGGACCATTTAGTACTACGGTCAAACCATGTTCAAACTTCTACATTTCGTTTCCACCTCGCTCAGTGACTTTAAACCTAGACAACATCCAATGACGTTCAACTATCACGCTCGTTCCGTTCATTCTAATCCACATGAACATCCTGTACCCGTTTGCGAGGCTGATTACTCGCTAACCCCGGTTGACCAGGCCATTGAAGACTTGCTATTCCTGGTTTGCCATGCCAAACAAGACCCGCTAACCCTGCTTTTCCAGACCGACTCGTTAACCCCGCTTTTCTAGACCAAAGAAGACTCGCTAACCCCGCTTTTCCAGGCCAAACAAGAGGCGGCGTCCCTCGCTGCCAAGGGTCTCGCGCACGACCAACTGCGCGCAGAAAAAGCCCTCGCGGTCGAGACGGCGAACTCCGAAAGGAGAATGCGCGAGACCCTGGAGGCAAAAGTGCGCGAGTTGTCCGCCGAACTGGAGCGCGCGGCCGCGGGCGGCGCGGAGGCGAAGAGAAGGGCCGCGGACCTGGAGCTGCGGCTGCATACGAAGGACGAGGAGCTGACGCAAGTCAAGTGAGGGCACGTGATAGAGCATACCCCACGGTTATTTTTGGAGTCTGATCTGGTTGGGGGTTTTTGGTTTTCTTGCAGTAGCGTTTGTTTTGCCCGTCATTCTCGTGTTCAACAAGGAACTTTGGACCAATTTCCTTGAACAGCTGATCCTGGAGTCGAAAATCGCGAAGAATTGGACAGTATGCTGTCCGACTCTACATACTAGGCGAATTTAAAACGACATGGGCACTCTTTGTTGCTCCGTTCGGTATCGTACTATCCTCTCCATCAGAATCGCGAATCTCATTTCACCTCCCTTCTTTTCTCTTTCCTCGTGATTTAAGTGGCCAGTCCGTTCTCCCCAGAGTAAAGAGCAGTTTCTGCGGATTGTTTTAGTAAACCTTTTCTCATTCCCGCAGGATTCAGCGCGAGCGCGCGCTGGGTGAGCTTGTCGGCTCCTCTTCCGAGCGGTCCAAGGCGCTGGAAGCGCGCGCACTGCTCGCGGAAGAGCAGCTGCGCGCGGCGCGCGAACGAAGTAAAGCAACGGAGGTAAGCGAGAGGCTTCGCCGGCAGAGTGCTTGCAAACACGACGATAACATTGCACACTTACGTTGGACGCGAGTTTGACGCTTTTCCCTTGATGGTGAAAAAGGAACAGGAAGGCCAAAGGCAAAAGTCTCCACGTAGAGGCGAAAGATGTTCGTCCGTTGGGGAAAGAAATCACCAGGTGAGTGTTTCAGTCTTGTATAAGAAGGGGCCACCTCCCCTTAAAGACCCCAGTCACTTCTTGATGGAGTGGCCCTCCTAGAAATATCCCTCCTTGGACCTCCAAATGCCAACAACTTTCCATTCCTAGGACAGCGGTCAGCTTACACGAGCCGGACTCGGTGATATACAGTCAATGCCCTGCAGAGCGCAACGTCGAGTTGATGTGGCGAGATCTGCTGATTGCCTACTTGGCGTCTGTGCCCCGAAACTCTCCTCTTTGTAAGAGCGGAACGGAACTATCTCTTCCTGTTGATTACCTCGTGCTTTAACAGAACTCAGCGGATTCAACTTTATTTACGATATAAATCATGTACGGGGACCCAGTGTAACGAATCCTAACGCCACAAGACCGAATCACAACGTCGCCATCTGCCGCGCTTTCCAGGCGCGTGCGGCCGAGGCCGAGACGAAGCTGGAGGCGTTGAACGTCGAGATCGCCAAGGAGAAGCACGCCCTGCTGGAAAACGTGCGCGCGCAGGAACAAAGGCTGCAAGACCAAATCGACGCCATGGAAAAACAAGGCCTTCAAAGCGCGGAGACGGTTCTTATACAACAAAAGGAGGCCCTGCGGAGGGACCGAGACGCTATCGAACGGCTGGGCGACGGCCACGACGATGTGGACGGGGACCCGATCACAGGGCCTCCCACAACGCGGGGCGGAAGCTGGGCGGAACCGTTCGAGCGACGGATCGCGGGTTGGGTTTCGGAGCTTCACGACGAAGTCGCGCGCGCCGCGCGCGATCTGTCGGAGGGGTGTGCGCGCGTCGCACGCGCGCATGCGGAAGATGTGCGAGTCCAGGCCGGGAGGAGCGGGCGGCAGGGCGCGCTGATGCGCGCGCAGGCGGGGACCGCGCGCCGGAGGGAGGGCGACGCGGCCGCGCTGCTGAAGCGGCTCGCAATTGCGGAGGCGGCCGTCGGCGCCGTGATCCAGGGCGGGCTTCCGGAGATTGAAGGAGCGGCGGACGAGTCGCTGCGCATTCTGACGGAAATGGTCTCCGGTTCCGGTTCGGTCCCGGAGCAGCATGGAACGGAGAGCGACGTCGTACGGTACTATTCCCCCAGCGGGGCGCAGGAGGTGCTCCACCAGCTGCTCTGGTCTGCCAAAGCGAGGGTGCTGTACGACGTGGCAGAGTTTGCACGGGACCTTAGGAGTGTGTTGCTGAGCTGTTCCCCGGGAGTCGGTAACGGGCTTCTCACCGTGACCCGGCGGCTGGCGACAGTTTGCACGAACTGGGAGCTTGCGGTCGCCCTAATATGCCCTCGGTTGGGCCCCGGTTTAGATGACCCGGTCGAGCAAGATCCGACCGCTGCCATAAGCTATGGGGGCTTTGTGCTGGATGCGACAGAACTAGAGGCGGTCGCATCGCGCGCACTCGGGTCGCTGGAGGAGGACTGCGGGGTGGTCGTCGAGGCGGTTTGCGCGGGATGCGCGCGCGTAGAAGAGGAAACGGAAGGCCTCGCGCAGCTGATTGCGGCTGCCGCGGAGTGGCTCGTTCAGCTGACGCTCACCGCGCACGCGCTGACGTCAGCCGCGCTTCAAGAGCCGGAGAGGGAAGCGGGTCTGCCGGGTTATAGCGAAAGGAATGGGGAGACGGATGCATTGGGCGAAGCGGCTAGTGAATTCCGGATACAACACTTTCAGCGGATCTTCTCCCTCATGGTTGCGGATCTTGGAAAGCGCGTTGCCGCGATTGCGGAGGCAGCAAACCGGGGTGATATTGCGTCTTCTATTGGCGCCGTGGCCCACGGAGCGGTCCTTGAGATGGGAATCGCGTTCGGCTCGATTCGATTGCTGACAGTCAGCAGCCTTCCTGGCGGCAATCAATTGCTGGAGGAAGGGCAAGAAACCGCCGCTCCCGAGCTTGCGCCCGGCAACGAAGAGGTCTTCTGTAATCCGGACCAAGAGCTTCAGACGGTTACGATGTTTGGGAGACCAGTGTACCCTCTTGTGCTCCCAGATTACGTGATGCTAACGGACCAAAAGGACGATCCTCTCAGCATTTCTCGTGGTGAACTTAGATCTATAGCAGGTGCAGAAGCAGGTTAGATGGTACTTGGTATACCAAATCAAATGATCTTCACCAGTCCTGATGCGAAGCACTCTTGAGGAACCTCCTGGGTCAAAGAAGCTTAAGATTGGCAGAGTCCATTTACAGCTCCGACATTAAATGAAGATGCAAAATTTACGGTAACCGGTATGATATGAATGCGCGGTGTTTTTAACGCATCTTTACCGCGAGGTTCAATGATCAATTGTCTAGTTAAACCTAAGGTACACAGCCTGCCTATTCTATGCATCTTCTATTTCTGCAGGTCTGTGCCCTGGCTTAACGTGCAACTTGAGGATAAACTGATTGGATAAGACGGAATTTGAGCTGGCTACAATGCTACGTGCCTCTGATTAGTGTCATAGGTTGTGCTTCCAACTGATCAAGAATCGTGTCCGCACTCAGTGACTGGCTACAGATCAAAGGTACAATAAATGCACACGACGGTGTATGAGCTGCACAACAATGTTACATGCCTATGATTATGTGTCAAATTATGGTTTCAATCGTGATCTTGGTCCGCGCTCACTACAATTTCTGTAGTTCCCTCCGGAACGGAATGATCTACCAGTATATTATAGAAACGTGTCCTAGATTGCTAGCATTGCCGACTGTAATGCTGCATCCGATCAGGACCTCCCGCTCTTTTGCACAAATACGTCACCAATTGACGATTTTAGTGACCAATTACGCGGGCCAGCGGACGACCGCGGGCGTGCCAACGCGGCCAGACGTACTGTGGTTCCATCATGTGGGCGCTTCCCGTTTGACGAAGCTCCTTATGGTGCTGACCAATAAGGGCACGTTGATTGGTTTTGTCAGGTACCTGGTCAGGAAAGTCTCAAAAAGTCAAGTTTCATACAGGTCGGAATCAAGATGGATGCCATCGACTTGAGCACTCAGCGCGTTGAGCACTAGGATCATTCCGAGGGCTTCTTGAACGAGAAGCCAGTAAAGGAAGCAACGGAATCGTCGACCGAGTACGACTACAGGATGTACGCAGTTTTCAAGACAAAAAGCATGATTCAATTAAGCCTGGCAACGTAGTGACCAAGAAAGCCTCTGAACCAAAGCTGAGCTTCGTCGACAAACAGGCTCAGAAAGTGTCACAAGATGTGCCGCCTGAGATTCATAATGGCAATGAAAGGCTTTTGAAAGCTGGTCAAGCTGAAATCCCCCAACCAACAGGGATACAAACATCCTCGAAGAAATCAAGAGGCTGGAACAAGAAACGTTTTTCGAACACCGTCTAGCGCGCCAACCGAAAGCGGTCGTCTCAGGTTCTCGGCGGCGAATTGGAAGGCACCGTTGTTGGAAGGCAATCGGGCGGGGAAACAGATCAGCAATCTAGGTTTAGATTCAGCACGTCTTTTTTCCAACCTCTGACGGGCGATCAAAGCACTGAAAACTTCGCGGTCTTACCCATCCATCCCAACGCTGAGGCACTTCTCCTTGTCTGTCGCCATGGCGTGGGCTGCACAAATTAAAGCGCTATAATTCAGCATGAGCCCTTGCACTCCACAACTTGGACATGCCGTGTCAGGCTTTCCCAATCTTTCGGTTCGGGTCTGGGCAAGAGCATGGTCTGTCTTGAAAAGAGAATTCATTCTCGACTTACCGCTTCAAAAGGCTTCTGGGCCCGCAAAAACAAATTCCTTCCAGCAACTTCTACTTTACCAAGACTGATGCGCTGAGCTTGAAGTGAACGCGTTTCTGGTCAGACGAACCTCTGTACTTGGCAACATGTCGATCGATCTAGTTGCTGACTTCGCTTCGGCCGCACCTGTGTGTGCGAGCCACACCAACAAGAGAAAGACTCGCAGGAGAAAGCCCGTGAAACTTGCCCGTCGTCAAGATAGGGCAAACATGTGAAGCAACAGAGCAACTCAAGCTGCAAATCAAGTCTGAAAGTCTAGGGTTTCAGTTTCCGACTTCAAAAACCTTGACCCTGGGCTTTCAGGGCTCACCCGTCAGCGCCACGATGGGCACGTGCACGTTTTCTCCCTGCTCTAGTTGCCTGATCTCGATCGTGGCGCCGTAGCCGTCCAGCACCGGCATCTGGCAGTCCATGAGAACTAGATCGAAGCAGCCGGACGTCCGCAGGTCCTCCGCGAGAGCGTCCGCAGGGGGGCCGAACTCGGACAGCGAGGGGGCGGCCTTTTGCGTGCACAATTGCAGAGCCATGGCGGCTAGAACAGCGTTTACCGCCTGAGGAGAGAAGCAAAAGTCCGGGGTTTTGGGAATGAGGGTTCCTAGGGATTCTAAAATGAGAAACGGGTGTGTAAGAGGTTGGACACTCGATGGTTTCATACTTCACGCGGTTTCGAGGAGAGGAAAGATTAGTAGCGGGGAAGACAGGTAAGGCTTCAAAGGTTAAAGGCTTGAGGATTTACTGAAAGACTTTGGGGCCAGCTTCGAACCCTTTCGGCTACGGCACACAATATAGGGTGGCACTCTAGCGATTGTACTTCCAGTCATCTCGACCGGAAGCAAAACAGCAAGACTCGGTCAGCGGATTCCCGGCGGAAAATGTGATCCTAAGGAAGTTTCCACCGGTGTCTTGTCACCTTTCAGCTCGTGAGGCAAAGCATTCAATTCAATTTTGGCCACACTCTAAACGTCATGAGATTCCGACTAAGTCTGAAAAGGTCTGAAAGAGCGCAATGGAGAGCGGCGGAAGTGGCGAGCCCACCTGGCGCCCGTTTTCGACTGCGAACACTTTCGCGCCAACCCTAGTTAGGATGGTCGTCGCCAGCTTCCGCAGCATGACCGTATCTTCCACGATCAGAACGTGAACTCCCGCAAGTGCCAAACCCGTGCCCCCCGGCTCTTTCCCCGGGCTCACAATTTCCTTACCGCCACCCGTTTGGTTAACCCCGATTGACCCCGCCTGGTTATCTGCAACCGTCAGCGACGCTGGGGCTTTGATCTCGGTGACGTCATCGCCATTTGTCGCTGACGTCGTCGTGGACTCCTGCGACAAGACTCTCTCCGCTGTGCTTGAAGCGATTCCGCCGGAGGGAGCGGAATCCGCTGCGCGCTCCGGCCCCTTCTCGTCGACCGCGCCGCGGGTCGAGGCGAACGCCATTCCCGATTGGATCAGCACCTCCTGCCGTTCCTCTTCCGTTAAAGCGAACGCCTTCTTCGGCGACCGCACAAACTGGGACCAGACCGGAGCCGCCGCCGCCGGGACCGCGCTTCCTAGCAACACGTCCGGGTTCGGGTTATCGCTAACCATAGCGGTTAGGAGGGACATCAGGCGCGACGGGTGCAGGACGTCATACGCTATGATGCGGCAGCCGGACGCGGAGCGCATCTCCTCGTAGACCGCGCCGGGCAGCGCGAACGAGACGAGCCACGCCACGACGACACGTGGCGCGTTTGGGGCCGTCGGATCGTACTCCTCCATGAGGGAGCGCAGCGCGGTGGCTAGAGCCTCGGGGGACGGAAAACCGGGCACGACCGCAGTGTCGAGGATCAGGAAACATGTGCCCGGGGCTTTGCCCCGGCCGCTTTGCCTGGTCGAATTACCAATGAGCGGCTGTCCGAAAAGCCGACTGCCCGCTGACGTCACTTTCTCGCCTGGGACGGAGTCTCCGCCGCTGTGCCGTGTGGCGGTCACTGTCACGGTCGGACGGCGGACGCGGCTGTCGCGCTCGAGAGGCTGTCCGGAAAGCTGACTGTCCGCTGCCGTCACTTTCTCGCCGGGAACGGGTTCCCCTCCGCTGTGCCGCACTGCGAACGGAGGTCGGACGCGGCTGTCACCCTCGAGAAGCTGTCCGAAAAGATGACTGTCCGCTAACGTCACTTTGTCGCTGGAAGCGGGATCTCCTCCGCTTTGCCGTATGGCCGACGGACGTCGGACGCGGCTGTCGCTACTGACGTTACCATCCGGCCGTCCGTTTCTGTCAGTTCCTTTCTCGCCGGGGACCGCATCTCCTTCGCTCTGCCGAAACCTGGACGGACGTCGGACGCGGCTGTCTGGGCTGACGTCACCATTCGGACGTCCGTTTTGGCCCGTCCTCAGTTCCGCGAGGTCGTCCGCCTCTTCGTCCTCAAACCAGACGGTGTGCTTGCCCCCGAGCAGAACGCGGAACGCGTGCCGCAGGCCGCCCCACCGCTCCGCTTCCAAAACCCTAAACCCCCGGCGCGTCATCCAGCCCGCGGCCGCCTCGCGCCCGACGCGGTCGGCCTTCAGCAGCAGGACGGTGCCCCCCTCGACCTGCGCCAAGCAATGACGCATTAGGAATAGTAAGCTTTAGGAATAGTAAGCTTTAGGAATAGTAAGATCACCGGCCTGGGACGGGTAGGGTTAGTTTGGGGGTTTAGGGTGGGTACGGGTGCGGAGCAGGTGATCGGTTAAAATTTTAGTGTTTGGTTTAAGCTTACTATCCCTGAAGTGTCACGACATACCTGCTCCAGCAACGACAGCTCCTGGCGCACGAACTGGGGCACGTTCACACCGGGCGTGTTCACACCCGTCGCTCTCCGGCTGGGCCCTTTGGGAAAAGGCGACGCCGCGACTTGCGAGGTCTTGGTTGCGGTCGCCCGCCGCGACGCCTTAGACTTGAACGTCCCCTTGGGGGTGCTGAAAGGGCTCTCTTCGTAGCTCGGGGGAAGTTCCAGCACTATGTGGAACCGGAAGAGAGTTCCGGGCCCCTGTTTGTCCTCGATGTGAAGCCCCCCCCGCATGAGGGTGACTAGATTTCGGACCATCGCGAGGCCCAGTCCGTATCCGCCGCCCTGTCGCGATCCCTGGGTGAAGCTGCCGAGCACCGCTTTCCGCCGGCTGGGAGGAATGCCAACGCCTGGAGAACGCAAGAACAGGTTTGTGATCATAGTTGCAAGAATAAGCGAATCTAGAGTATGTTAACGAATCAAGCTGAGCAGCCCTAAGTGAAACTTCCGAGGACTGCCTTCTGCCGGCTGGGGGGGATGCCAACGCCTGGAATCTATAACAACAGGTTTTGATGTTGTAATCAAGTGATGGGGAGGGAGACGAGGCGCGAAGTGATTTCGGGGAAACAAGAGCTGATCATGCCGTATGCCCTTCCTATATTCCCCTGGCTCGCTCATCATTTGTGGTAGTCAACGGGAATAATCTGAGAGCAAGAATGCAAAGGCATACATGGGCGAGAGTAGGTCAAATGATTTCCAGACAATTGGGGTCTGTGTCTTTACCCAAGCTTTGCAGCGTACTCCTTCCTGGCACAGATCCACAGAACAATTGCACATGGAGCCTGGTACGAAAGCAGTCAACAGCGATGAAGCTCTCGCTTCCTAGTAGGAGTGTAGGAGCGGCATTGATTTGTCCTGAGCTCAAACGTGTGCCACAATCAGGGAAGGAACCTTACCGGTGTCGTCGACTTCGAAGACGACGGTGATTTTCCCCGCCTGCTCCGCCGTCACGCGGGACAGAATCGCGGCTCTCAGCTTGTTCGCATACCCCGCAATCCATTCCGCCAACGCGCTCTGCCGGGGTTCCGGCGGCGCGCTCTGCCGGACACCGGAACCTTCGCTGCGAACGGTCGTGCGTCGTCGACTCCTGGAGAAGCGCTGCGACACCGATCGGACCATCGTGCGGAGCGCTTTGAGGATGGGCCGCGGCGCGGGGCGCGGCGCGCGCGCGCCGGACGGCGAGGCGCGGACCACGATCTGGCCCTCGTTCGTGAACTGCGGACGGAATCGCGGGCCGTTGTTCAATTGTCAGATCTTCCAGAGTTGATAAAACCTGAAACCATTACACTTGGTGTTGAAAAGCCTGTACATAATATTGAGAAGAGTACACGCGCTGAGGTTGAGTACAGGACTTCGGGATCGACGCAAGGCGAAGCGAAATGAGACCTCATAGAAGCAAAAGTTGTTTTTTCCAATCACCTACGATGCGGGCATGTTCCCGTTCACGAGACATTGGGAAAGCTGGGAAAGGGGACTCGAAACGTTCCTTATTCTTTTCGGCTCACCCTATCGATCTTTGCCAAAAGAATCCAAGGAGTAAGTCTTCATGTAAGCGGCGAAGCTCTTTCAACCGGCCGTTCATCCGTCCTCTCGCTTATTGAGCTGTCGCCTTGCCCTTCAGGATCCCGTACACATTAATCTCCTCTCCTCCGTTTTTACATATAGATTTGGAATGACTACCGTTGCTTTGCGGCAGATAAAAACCATGACCAGGCTGTATAGCTGGTTCAAAGATTCGAACCCGCAACTTTTCAAATTGTGGCGGGAAGGTCATACGCTCTTGGTGCTCACCGTCACGGCGTTCCCCACGAGGTTCGCCAGGATCTGCCGCACGCGCGCGCAGTCCCCGACGACCTTGCGCGGCAGGCAGTCGTCCAGGTCGAGAACTAGAGCGACGTTCTTTTTGGCGCACTGCACCGCGAACATGTCCACCAGCGCCTCCAGCTCCTGGCCCAAATCAAACGGGCCGGGCTCCAACGTCAGCTTGCCGGACTCCACCTGAACGTCCACGTCAGACAACGTCAGCGTCCGCAGGTAAGCGCAGGCCCCCAATCTTAGCTGACCGGGAAATCGAGCATTATGTACCGCTGCAGCCTTTCATGGAAAGCCCGTTTGCCACAATCGCTCATGAGTTCACGTCTGAAAAACGGGGCCCAGCGTATTGACTCGTTCGAGTTTCAATGCCGCAAAGGAGGCATGTGCTGGTAGAAGCAGACTACGCGTATCTTGCTTCAAAACGATCTCGGGTTGTTTTTAAACGTAAACCTTTTGACAGCTCTGTTTTTCCAATCGTACCGGCGTCAACAACTGGATACAAGCATCCGCAGAGCGCAGCTCACCTTGGACAGGTCGAGGATGGACTTGAGGAGGTCCAGCAGCTGCAGCGCACAGAGCCGGACCTGCTTCAGGCTGCTGCGCTGCTCGATGTGCAACCGACTGTCGCCCAGCAGCACCTCCAGCAAGCCTGAAAGAATGTAAAATACACGTGAGGTGCGTCAAGAGGAGTTTTTCAAGTACTGAGTGTAAAAGGCGTTGCAACTTTCCTCGGGTATGGCAGCGCTGTTTGCGGTGCAATCAAGAGAGAGGCTCTTGCAATGAGCAATGGGGCCAAGAAGCAATTTACGAAGCTGAAAGCTACGGAGCTCGAAGGAAAAGGCTAAGATCCCTGCAAACAGGGTCTGTGATAGCTTTGGCTTGTAACACCTAGATGCGACACTCTCGGAACGAAGGGAAGACTCCGAAAACAAGATCACCAATGCGATCAACCGTTTCCTTTGAGTCTTGATGGCCAAAAGATTCCAAACACTCTCTCCAGAGACATAAGATTCCCCGATACTGTATTAACAACCGTGCCTGCGCCAGCACCTAAAATCTGAGGAGGTCGCGGACGTCCGGCCTTCGATGCAGGTTCCAAAGAGACCCATAAAGCTGGCAAGCCACGAGTTCACAAAGGTTCCCATACAGCCGTTTGAGTGGAACTCGTCACCCGCGGGTTCGAAAGCAGTTCGTGAGTACACGAAGTTGAAACCTCAATCGACCGTGCAAGAAGTTCCAAGAAAAACTCCAGATATGTGTCAGATTATCCCATGTCTAATTGCGGTATAGGTATCATGGAACTTTGCCTTACTTCGTTTAGACCCCATCCAAATGCTTTGCCCGTATATCACCACGCGAACGCCCCAGAATTGTGAACAGGGGGTTGCTTCCTTCCCCATGTTCGTGCACAGCGATCGAACTTCCAGGATCGCAGAATGGGAACTTGGACCAAACTTGGAAGGACCCGATTCACGCAAACCGCTGTGACATCGACATTTGGACGTCCGGCCTCACCTATGATGCAGCAGAGGGGCGTCCGCACGTCGTGGCTCATGGCCGCCAAGAACTGGCTCTTATAATCGGACGCCTTCTCCGCCTGCTCCTTGAGCTGCATACTGCGGATCAGCTGCGCCCGGAGGAGCATCTCCCGGCTAACCCGGCAGGTTAGCAGCACGATTAGCACGCAACCCAGGACGAGAACCCCGGCCGTGATGGCGCTGATGATAATCAGCTCCCGGCTGGAGGTTTTGTCGATGTCGTCCCAGGTGACTGACCGAGGAATGACCATCACCGTGACCTGAAGAGGTGTAAAACGTCACAGGTTAATGATAACCAGGTTAGGGAGGTGAAAATGACCCTGACCTGGAGGGAAACATGAACGCGAGTGGAAGCAGTCACTGCGTATCGAGTTACTAGTGTGAAAAGGATTGGCAGTCGAGGGCTTAGCAGAGGATGTTAGGTGACTGGCGATTTGACTGCGCTCAGCTGCCGTTGGTTATAAATTTTGAAACCTTTAGCAGGAATCCTGCCTGCCAAGACGTGATCCAAGGAAGCAGAAAGTGAGGAAAGCGCTTTTCTATGACACTAGAAGGAAAGGCGAAACTGATGACCGACAAAGGCGGAGGTAGAAGAGAAGTAAAGGCCAGAGGCTCTTTAGGCTACGTTTCCTTCTCATGCGAGGTTTTGGTCCCAGACTTGGCTAGTCAGCAGAGTCCCTTGCTTTGCGCTTGGGCACCTGGAATGCGCCTTTTCAATACTACTTCATTGTGTTGAAAGGAGCAGAAGATGCCCTGATCTGACACCGCAACACTGCCGTTGGCGTGAGCTGTTGTCTCTCAATCCGAGTTGACACTCAAATTGGACACGAACCTGGCAGGGCCCCAGCCCAAAGTTCTAGGCCTAGAAGAACAGAATGTTCACAGGGCCACGAGAGTAAGTGAAACGGGTTCTCTGAAGAGCTCACCAGTTTCTTCCCTTCGACCTCCAGCTCTATGCTGGACACGTAGTGCTTGGCCCCCGCTAGGTCCACGCTCTCGAAGCTTGCGTTGCCGACTTGAGAAAGACTTTTGGTAGCGGCGTCCTTGAAAAGAACGCGCGCGGAACCGCGCATCAGCGGATTCGACGCGTTGGCCACGAGAATGCTGGCGTCATCCGACGCTGCGGGCAACGCAAGAACGAACACGATTCAGGAGCTTCGAGTTTGGGGAGCCGGGCCGGAATGACCCTGGGAAAAAGACTGATCAGAAGGCGCTTGGATTTTCGATTGAAGAGCTGCCAAAACTTTGCGCCCTGTTTCCCAAGCTTGATTAAAGTTGCATTCTCTTTTAACTTGGCAGTCCTAACTTGTCAATCGTGTACAGGTTCTGTCTGCTGACGTAACAATTGCCAGCTTAAAAGCGCTTGCAAACCCAGGCCGGGGGCCCTGGGTGGTTCTACTGCTCAGTGGGGGCCATTTCGCAGGAGCGGTGTTTGATTCGAAGGGCCAAGTCCCATCGAAGGTACGTTTCTGGGTGTGTACGCTTTGAGCCGGGGCGCCAGACACGTCCGTGAGACCTTGCAGGCTCTGTTATGGGATCCAAACGACATCTGCTTCCAAAGGTTCGTGCAAACCTGGACAATGAATCGGTGGGCTGAGAGCCCCTAGGGTACTACAGGCTCACATCCGTCGGTGGTGCTTGAAAGGCGGGGCAAAGAACGCACATCGAAGTCCACTACAGGAAGAGAATCTGGTGAAATCCTAAGGGCTCATCAGAGCGCGCTGACACACTTACTGACGCGCATAGAGCCGTAGAGTCCGGTGAGGTCTGAGCTGCAGATCAGCTTTCCGGTCTCCGCTTCGAAGACGTACAAAAGCCCGGCGTGCTGCGGACGGTTGCTCGCGAGCAGGTTACTGAGCGTGACCGTGGTTGCCGTGCCGAGCGCGACGCCCAGGGTTACGTTGCTAACCGGGTCTCTGACCGCTTGCGCAGCCAGAAAGACGAGGGTGCTGTTGTAGGCCCACTGCGGCAGGTTTCAGAGATGGATGAGTGGCTGGCAAAGCTCAAGCTGACAAGATGCCGACGTCATTCAGACGCTCGTTCTGAACACAGGCTGCTTGTCATTTGGGGCAAGAAAAGTCTCTGTAAGCAGCATCCGCAGCTCGATCACTCAGCCCTCAAACTCTGGTCCGTACTCATCGAAGCGTCTTTGAAGAGCAATCTCCGAGCGGCCAGGACACTAAGTTGGCTCTTTAAGTGATGTGTGCTGCCAAACGTAACGACGGTTGCAAGAGCGCTTACTACGATGCCCCAGGCCATTTTGCCAGTGATCAACGTCTCCTTGTACGGTGCAGTCTCTCTGAAGTCCCCGGGTAGTGCACTCTTGGGCGGGGAAGTCGGGTTTCCAAACCGATCCACATTCACAATGAACAAAGGCATGGTGGAGTACCCGGTAGAGCTGCTCGGGGGTGCGCTCGATTGGTTGGCGAAAAAGTGCCGGATGGCGCCGTCGTCAAAGCGACGGAAGCCGCTGACGAGGCCGTCTGGGGTCTGGAAGCGGCAGAAGCTGGCGCTGGGGGAGGATTTGAGAGTCGCCAGGATGATAGGAGAGACCTGCAGAGGGAAAACATGATGAACAGGAGCTTTGATCTGGAGTCCAGTTTGATCAGTGTTGGAGATCAGAGACCAAAAAGAGGTAAGATCAATCAAGTGTAATCAAAATTGAGTGTCAGTGAAGCAGGAGCAAGATGTTGCAACGGTTTCCATTTGATGCTCCGAACTTGATTTGCTTGATGCGCGGGCTTGCTGCAACTTAGGTCCAGAATCATTCATTTCAACTTAGTGACGCTTTGATCATCGTCTCGACTCACAAGTCGGACGACTGAACTTTTCCGACTTGAAGATCAACTCACCGACACTGCGTTCAAGAAAGGTTGTACTCAGAAAAGGGAACAAGAGTCTGCCAATGGAAACCGGACATGCTCAAGCTACGCCCTCTTACAAGTGTATGATCTGCATCGACGAGAACCCCTCGATCGAAAGGAGGGCTTGCGTTTTTCTCACTAACCGAAGAGGCCACGACTGCTCTACCTGCTGCAGCCTGTCACAAGATGCTATGCTGAAGCCATCGTTCAATATAGTCCGTAATACAGTATTCCGAAAAACCGTTTTCAATCCTTTCACTTTGAAGCTGTTCTCCCCTCGCGTATTTTTTCCTGCAAACATTCTATTTTGCCCGGTACCTGTTGCCCTTTGGCATGCTTGAAGTGCCACAAGAGACTGCATATCAATCGGAGATCAGACTGAAGGTCCTCCAACATTCAGTTGGTCACTCTGACCTCAAGCATTGCTCGATGGCCTCCATCTATGTGGTTTCAAGAGAATGACCTCAGAACGACAAAGTCAAAGCAAGCAATCGTAGTGCCGTGGACCCTTACCATCTGCTCAAGTGCGCTGGACTTGGTCAGATCTGCAGATCGCACTTGTGGGGTGAGGATGATGGTCTCTGCAATCTGCCTGGCCATCTGCGTTGTTCCGCTCAGGTACTTTGAGAATGACTTTGCCCCAAACTCAAGTGCATGCTCCTGGTTCTCTTCAGTGAGCTGCTCGACGTTTCGGCGGGCTGTAACATCCATCTGATACCAGGTTGAAAATGCCATGGCTGCGACCAATACACACATGAGTACCTGAGGAGATGGGAAGCAAAGGATGGGGTTGGAAATGCTAAACAGCCAAAGCATATGGACCAAGAGATGACTGGTGCGAAAGTAAAGCAACAACCTATTACATCCAGTTCCGGGCAGAGAGTCGCTCGACCAAGGACTGACCAGCTTTTCAATAGTGATAGGAGCTACAATCTCGTCATAAGCAAGGCTACTGATACGTTCTACAGGAGTGCTGCTTACAATGATGCAAAATCAGTGAGCTCTGCAAGTATCAGACATACTTAAGGGACGCTTGGCAGATGCATGATTCAACTTCCTTGTGAAACCATACCTTGTCCTAAATTTCAAGGCAACTTTTGTACATGTACTTCTGAATAAGGTAGGAAGAAAGTCTGACACGGACTAGTATTAGTCGTATTGTCCACTTCAGTCTCAAGGTGCATCCAAGATTTTGGAGAGGCTGCAGCTTAGACCATATTGAAAAGACAATTCTCGAACAGAGTCCCAGTCACCAGCTGCTGAGCTTGGAGTTCAGCTGTTTCATCCCACAGATAAATGTGCCCCTATCAGGTAAGAGTGTTTGCTCTATTCAGCTGCAGCTAGCCTTTGAAATCTGGGTCAAGCTGTTTCAGCTTCTTAGCGGTGTCGTGAAAAGAAGCATAATGTATTATCTCACACTCGGCTTTGAAGTGAGAATCAAAACAAGAACGAAGCAATTAGTTGTGGTGGCGTACCATTATCCCCAGCCTTGTAATCAAGACCATATGGTCGAATCCCTGGCGATCAGCTTCCCTCTTCAGCAGCACCGACGCTTGCGCGATGCGTTCCCTCTTAGGCACCCCCGGAGGACTAGGACCATCCACATTGTGGGTATAGTCAGAAGCCATTTTGAGATGCCTAATTGCTGAGCAAGGCTTTGAGAATTTTACTGTTGAGCGAGGTGAGACTGAGCTGAGCTTCGCTAATTGCTTGTAAACATTCTATAAGGAACCTAGCGACTATAAGCAGCTACTATGCTTGTGATTGCTCTGAAGCATGTCCACTTGTGATTCCTTGTGTGTTTCCCTGGAGTTTTTTTGAACACTAGCTATGCATGCTCTCTTGGTGATAGTAGCGCAGGTGGACTGGGGCCGATCCGCTACTTACGTCAGACGCAATCAACTCTTCACTCCTGCATGATAAGATCCTCTTTATATTGCATCTACCGTCTTTCCTGCCACATGCTGGTCAGCCTTTCGACATGTCACAGGCTGAGCCTTCAGACCAGGGGCCATAGAATCAAAAGAGAAGCGCTGGACTGGCCCCCCCAGAGCTCCGAGCTCTCCAATCGCGGCTCTGAGCAAACTTGTGCCATCAGACATAGGGCTGACGCAAGATTCAACTTTGGCCGGCTGGGCGCCCCAAAGACTTTCAAAGACACCAGCAGGGGCACAGGACCACCCATTGGACTTTGCGGTGATTGAAAGCTTGATACGACTCGCCCTTCTAACCTAATTCCGACCACCGTTGGACCATAAGTCCCCAAGCGGAGAGTTATCCCAGTTCGACCGCCCTGCTGATCTAACTTCGACCTCCCTTTCAAAAGTTCCGGGGCAGAGAGATGTGGAGGCATGCCTGCTGTTCATCATGTCCTACGAAATGCCAGGTTCATGGAGGTTGCGGCCCCCGCGGAGACTGCAAAACAGCAGGAGAAGCGCTTTTTACATCATCTTGTTGCAAAGAGAAGAAAAGTGATCCACCAGACCCCTGGCGGGCCGTTCTCTCAGTCACTGCTCTCATGGATCATATTGCTGGTGATGAGTATTGAGACAAATTGCTGTGACCACTGTCGGACACTGACAATCCACGATAAGTTACAGCATGCCTGAAATGTGCTGTACCCTGGCTATACCTAGACAAATGCATCTCATGAGCTTGCATACATCCATGACTGATCAATGACCCATCATGATCTAGCTTTGTGATTTGCAATTTGCAAACCATCGGAACTTGAGCCTGACAGGAAGTGTCAGAGGCATCATGCAACATATATATATGGCATCATGCGACATATCTGCGGGCCTCCCAATGTTAAGTTCCGGCCCGAGCGTTGGGATCCCGGATCGACGGTCAAGACCGCAACGTTGACTTTGTAAGGCAATCCAGACCCGTCGATAAAATAGTTGGATTCGGCCGGACGCCGGCGGTTAACCCAAGGGCCCTACCTTCACCAAATTCGCTTCTAAATGACGTCATTGGATTAATGCACCACTTTCCGCTGCCCAAGCCTCATGGGCTCAGGCATGTTGTCTCTTTCTCAAGCTGTGTGTGGTGTCAGCAACCAACTCTCTGGCGCTCAACATCGGTTAAACATCGACAAACAAGAGCTGGCTGCAGCGAACTAACCTTTCCAGTCTGTGGGTTTGAAATTTGCACGCGCAACTCACCGCTTCTGACTACCTGTTATCACCATTCCGGTTTCATCAAAGGCAAGGCTGTACTGAAACATACACAGATCACAGGCTTGCTTAGACCGACATGGCTGGTTAGTTTGACGTGCTTCCATGGCTGTCCATTGCATGAAAGGGAGTAAAATGAGTCCTCAGACTCGTTCTTTCTTGCTCAGATCGTTTTGCTCTTGTCGGTGACAAGCCACAGCCAGCGAGCAGCCAGCTCTCGTTCGTGTCACGAGGAAGTACTTGAGGCAGCCCTTCTCCAGCTGTAGTGACCGTAGGAATGATACGTTTCAATTGCATGTTGTCAGGCATGGAGGGATCATCCAAGACCTAAGCGAGACTTGCATAGGCTTCAATGACACTATATTTTGGGTTGTTTTGCTGGCATCAGCAATGGTATCTGAATAGCTTCAATTTGAGGAGTTTCTTTGCCCTTCAGCTATCATCATTGAGAGCCAAGCATTTTGCTTCGGCTGGTGAGGCTAAAAAGGCTGGCACCCGGGCATGAGCCAGCAAACATGCTTCCTTTATATGTGCATCAAAGCACGAAGTGCAGATTCAATGGAAATCCCGCGCACAGTGTTGCCAAATTCTCACTGATAAACTGATGCTAAACGTAACCGCAACGGTGGCAGGTTATCCGGACCTTCCAACATGGTGTGAACTACATCAGACCGTCACATGATGCAATGGTCTTGAGCTGCTCAGGCCCTCTTGAAGCAGTGCTTACCGGTATGGTGATTGGCTGAGCCTGAGATACTTGGACAGATGAGCTAGGCTCTTTCAGCTAGATCACATATTAGCCCGTGCTTTGCATAGATTTTCGAGGCTTTGCATCATGCATGCAAGATCCGTTTGGCAGCGTCATCCTGCACGAGAATTTCGACGCGGCAAACTCCGGCCAGGGCCAGAAATGCACGAAGACTGATAGGATGAATCAATGGCCACAACTGCTGCTGCACCGAGACCCTCGCTTTCTTTCAAGAACCTTCTTATATCAGTGGTTCCAAGGTAAAAGAACGCACGACACAACCGAAACGTGGTCACTTACCGCATGCCAATTGAAATCAAGCATTCGAATAATATGCATGCACCTAAAACGGCGTCGCTTTCGTCCGCTTTGTCTCCTTGTTTCGGCTCTCCTTTGTAGCTTTAGCTTCCACCTTCCGCTTCAGCGACTTGACCAAGGAGCTGAGCTCCGCCTTTGGCTGCTTCCTAACTGGAGCGGATTCGTCGGCCGTCACCACTCTTTCGTTGTCGCCACTAAGTTGCCGCTGTTTTTGCAGGTCTTGCATACGCCGTCGCTGCTTTTCAGCTAGGACCTCCATTTGTCCAGCGGACCTAACGACGAGAGAACAAAAGCTGGTCTGAGCACGACCCGCAAAGTCGAACACATCCAAGTGTGTAAGAAAAAGTCCACGAACACAAAGTAACGGGTAGAACGGAAACGGATTATCTCCTTAGAGCTAATGCGGGCGTTTGAAGTACTAAGTAGGATCCGAGGATTTTAAGAGCGCAACAAGTCGTCGACGCAGTCCAGAAAGGACACGGACCGGGTTTTTGCGTTCTGATCACCTTCCTGTTTTTCGTAAGAGATACAGTAACTGGTGCGCCGCTTTCTTTGCCTAGGTTAGCAGTTCCAATGTGGAGCAAACAAGCAGATTGTGAAAGAGGGGCTTGCAGGGTCAGCAACAGGCCATCCCTTAACAGGCATCAGTTCTCGAGCATCGAGGATCGACTCAGTGAGCAAGTCGCTTACTTGCTGAAGCGCGGATCTGTCGGGTCGATCGCAAAGTGGTGCGACGAGAACAGCGCCCCAAAGCGCGGGTCCTCGAAGTCGACCTTCGCGCCCTCCGCCGCTTGCTCGTCTTCAATCGCGTCCTCATCCACTCGCTCCCCCTTCTTCTTCTTCCTTAGCTTTTCTTTCTCCTTCCGCCGCTCCGCCTTCAGATTGTACCCCGCGGGTTTCGCTTCTAACCCGCCCCCTAACCGCCCCGCTAACGCCAGGTCGTCGTCCATCATCAGCAGCTCGAGGTCCGCCTTTCGCCGCGCCTCGTCCCGCTTCGCCGCCTCCGCCTCCTCCCGTTTCTTCTCCCGCTCTAGTTCTCGTTCCGTCTTTTTGTCGCCCTTTTCAGCCTTGCCACGTGGCGCTTTTCCATTCGCCGGCTTGTCGTCCGCGAAGAAGGGGTCGTCGAACGGGTTCTCGTCGTGCTGGAAGAAGCCGTCTGGGTCGTCGATGGAGGCGTCCGACTCGTCTCCGCCGTCCGTTGCCGGGCCCTTCTTCCGGCCCTTCCGCCGCTCCTTCTTCTTCCGGAGGTAGGCCTCCCATGTGGTCTCGTTCTTCTGCAAAAGGCGGCGAAAGGAATGACGGACTTTTTTAGGTAAAATAAGAGCTAGGTATAACATTAAAGCTTACTAAAAACCTGACCCAACAGATTACACGCTCCGCACTCGTACCCACTCTAAATCCCCAAACTCACCCCACCCGTCCCAGGGTGGTTAGCTTTTCATACCTGGCCCTTATAATACCTAAATTAGGCCAACACGCGAAAGGATACATTTGATAGCCGAAGACAGAGAGAGGAAACGTCCAAGACGTAAGAGAACACAGACAATCTATGCGTTCTCATGCGGGAGACCCAATCTTTCCTCGACGAGAGAAGCAGACACGTTGATAAGCAAAACCTGGCGGGATAAATGCACTCAACCTCGTTGCTGTGCAAAGAAACGAAGCACAGCGGCAATCTGAAGCCGGTTCCGGCAGAACGTAAGACAAGAGAGATGGTTTCCTGAGGATCGACACGAGGTGGGAAGGAGGCGACCTGACCTTCTGCGCTCGCTCTTAAGAGAAAGCCGACCCGCATTTGCGACCATGCAAAACAAAGCTCGCTCTCCTTTCCTCTTTGCGGCTGCTGGCGTCGCGCGAAGGAGATGGCACAGAGGGAAGGAAAGAAGAACCGCGAATGTCGTCAAACACAAATGCAACTCTCCCGAAGCATCTCAGATGATGGACCCACCAGCTGCTCTTTCTCTTTCCTCTTCTGCTCCAGCTTTTCCCCTAGGTCGTTCAGCCCCGTATTGAACGTAATCTCCATCTCTTCGTCCTCATCCTCACTCCCATCTTCACCCCCTCCCTTCGTTCCCGTCTTCATCACATCCCCAAGCAGGAGCGCCCTCAGCCGTTCCCGCTCCTTCTCTCGCTTCTCTAGTTTCGCCGCCTTCTTGTCGTCCTCCGGGGGGACCTCTCCGCTGCCGTTCTGACCCCCCCGATCCGCAGCGCTGGGCTCGGCGTCTGAGCCTTCTTCGTCGGAGTCGCTGTCGCTCGAAGCCATGTAGGCGTGGAAGTCCATATTGTCAACCTGGAAAAGACGGAATCAGTCCTGAGAAACATATCAACCCGAAAATCTTTCAAAGATCTTTCCTCCTGAGAACAGGATGTTTCCGGAAGAGCACAGCGAATAACCGAGGGTGACAGGAAGGGCCCCCATGCAGATGCGAGCAGGCCAAGCGAGGTTCGAGACCGGCCCTTGACCGCCACCAAAATCTCAATGATGTCCCCAAGATCTTCCCCAGAAACGCGAGATCAGACTTTCCAAGACGCACCTGAGCATACAAGGCATACATCCTAGTGACAAGATGCAATAATCATGAGGTGAGGATCACGGCGACAAACCGAGATCTGCTTGATAAGACTCGGACCATCATCAATCCAGGTAACGGCACGCATAACGCCGTGGGCTCTCTCGAAGACAGCCAGATCACTGCTCGTACGGTTCGTTCGTCGACCGGCGGAATTGTCCCTCAAATAAACATCTAATCCTCCGAATTAGCAGCACATACACAACCTCAGTGCTACTTGAAAGCAAAAGAATCCGGGCAACTTCTAGTTTGAGTAATTCCAGTAGCCTCACCTCCTCCTTGCCGAACTTGCGCCGGAGCGTCTTGCGCCGCGCGGGTTCATCCTCGTCCCACGTGAGCTTGACGTTGCTGTGCTGCAGCGCGCGCGTCTCGAAGTCGGGCGCCGCGTAATCGGACGGTACGGCCGTCGCGGTGTCTCGTTTCGGACGTTCGTCGAAGCTCATAGCATCCGGTACGAACCGCAGGTCGAGCTTGTTTGACGACTTTTCGAACTCGAGGCCGTCGCACTGGGCGTAGAGCGCGGCCGCGGTGGCGGGGGCGTCGCAGGAAACGACGGCGTAGTAGTACCTGGGGACGAAAGTCCGGTGTCAGAAAAGATCGAACCGGAACGGAACAGAACGGAATAAGGCAATCGAATCTGGAACTGGAGGCCATCGCACTGCGCGTAGAGCGCTGCCGCGGTGGCGGGGGCGTCACAGGAAACGACGGCGTAGTAGTACCTGGCGACGCAATTCCGGTGTCAGAAAGACCAGGACGGAACGGAATACGGCTCTCATTTTCAGAACACGAGGACATCGCACTGCGCGTAGAGCTCGGCCGTGCAGGTGAGGGCGTTGCACGAAACGACGGCGGAGTAGTACCTGGGGACGAACTCCGTGTCAGAAGAGACCGGGCCGGAACGGAATTAGACGGGATAAGGCACTCAATTTTGGAACTCGAGGCCATTGCACAGCGCATAGAGCGAGATCGCGGTGGCCGGGGCGTCGCAGGAGATAACGGCGTAATGAGTACCTCGGAAAGGCGGTCCAATGTCATCAGAGAAGGGTATGAACGGAATACGATCCAGTTCTGATACATGAGGCTTTGTGTGCAGTGGCGGGCAAATCGCAGTAAGACGACAGGCTAACGGTAGGTTGTTGGATAGTAATGACAGAACTTTTCTGACACGCGGCTTTGTAAGGAGTGGGGTGAAAACTGCACGTGCAACAAAACCGAGCAAATGTCCCATGCCAGTAGAGAGGGCGAGGGAACGGAAAGATTGACCACCCTCGCTCAAACCGGGTTAGCTTGAGACCGGGGCACGCCCAATGGGGCCAGCCAGTCGCGCAAACTGACAGCGTATCAGTTCTTGGGGCGAAACTCTGGTAGAGGAAAATATCTTGGGCGGAATGGTGTGGACCAGAAGGGAACAGTGTTACCACCATTTTGAACAGGACATCCAAAACGAACGAACTTCACAGCAATGTTCGCATCCTTGACATTGACAGGACTCTTTCTCCCACACTTCCCTCGGACGCAGCGTTCTCCTTTCTCACCGTTGGTCTGCTGCCCTTCTCCGTATGTTGCAACCCTTTGAAAGGAGGACAGATCTACAGGGCACTCAGAGGGATCTGATCGCCCAGTTCTAACCCAGGCAGCCTTTTCCTCTGAAAAGCAGCTTTCCTGCTCCAACTCCTGCTACAGCTGCCTTCTCCTCATCACACCAGCTTCGACTCCGGAAGCCATGCCCACTACATCAAATTTAAGACTTCCTTTCCCGTCTTCAGCTTTTTCGACCTTCCCAACCATGCAACTCCCTCGCAATAGCGCCTTTACGATCAATCCATCTTCGCCACGAAAGAGAATCTTGAAACGAACAACTGCACTAGCCGTCGAACTTTGATAACAGCTTAAGTCATAGTCACTCTATGACTCGATGACACGTCTTTCTGGGTACTGCAGCTTACGACCCTTGATCACAAAAAGAGAAGATAAACTCTCCACTCACTTCAGCTTCGACTTCTCGTACTCCCGCAACTTTTCCATGTTCACCCCCGCGCCGTCCTCATCGCTCTCATCATCGTCCTCCTCCGATGCGTCCCCACCCCACAACGGCTGTGGCCCCTTGACTTCCTCCTCTTTCATCCGCTCAAGCCCGAAATCGGAGGGGTAGACCGTGACCGACTCGATAGAACCACTCTCGGGGAGGAATGACTTGAGCATCACTAGAATGTCGACTGCCTGCAAAAGTCGTACATCTGGTCATTAAGTGTTCAAGCGACGAATTATCGAACATTCTCTTTAGTGCCTTACGTAAGCATTACTGATCGTAGACCCTAAGGGAATGGCTCTTGAGACAGTAAACGTCGACTGCCAGTAAGACGTCTTCCGAGAACGTAGCAGAAGGGTTCACTGCGACTGCAAAATCTTTGGTGTCACTTTTCCAGGCAAAATATTTTTGTTTTTCGAGGTTTTGCCCTGTTTGGCCAAAACCTTCTGCGGAATCATGTCTCGGTGCAACTGGGCTGCACATGGCTAAACCTTCCAGACTCAGCAAGTTTGGCCATCAATGACGTCTGCAAACCACCACAATTCGGCCGCGTGAGGGGCGACTTACCCTGATGTACTCCCAGTCCAGATTGACAATCGCGAGCCTCCGGGTCTCCTCGGCGCTCGTAGGCACTTTCTCAGGTTCCTCCCACTGCAAAAAATGGAATAAGTGCGGCAAATCCCTCAGCAAGGGCCAACTTTGCAACCTGAGACATGTCAATTCTGCGAGCGTCTTCCTTCTGGAGCTCCCAGTCAATTCCGGAAGATTGAGGCTGCATTCAAGCAGTCCCGATGGACGTCCGAGATCCATTCAGCGCAAACTGAGACGTCGCAGGTGCACGGAGCACTGCAAAGTCTCTCAGTCGACGCTTCGGAACACAACAGACAATGTGCCCGCCAGCTGGAGGTCCTCCCCTGTGCCTTCCTAAACAATTATTATCCACATGGTGAATATATTAAACAAGTAGAGAGTGAAAGGAGCTTAGAGAAGCCTCAAAAAACACTTTGCATTTGTATCTGGCGTTCGTACTCATTTCTTCCCTTCTACTCACAAGGGTGGTCGCTGCATCCAGATGCCCCTGCTTTGTGTCTAGCACAGGAAGGTTGTCGAAGAAAAGAGGCTTCAACTGTATTTATGCTTCTCCGATGAGCCATAAAGCGCTTTAGAAAATTTCTTCACATTTTAGGCCCATTCTCCCATTCAAGATCAGCGAGCCTCCAAAATCTGCCCTACAGCGTATCATTTCTTGCTCCCAAGCCCTGTCACTCAATTGGTCCTTCAAGGAAACATCCACAACTCCCACAGGATTTTACAAATCCAATCCACAATTCCACAGAGTGAAAGCAGTCTGGTAATGGTCGATGCTTTGGTTCCTGGTGGTGGTGCGCTGACGACGGGGGCGCATCACTTTCAGAACTTAATTTCCCCTTCATCATGTTGAATAGATCAAACTTACAAAAAAGTTAAGCATAGGATCTAGAAACAAAAAAATGCTGGACGGACCTTGTCTTCAGCCTCATCTTCCAGCTCGCTCTCCTCATCATCCTCTGACGACGAACTCTCGTCGCTCCCAAAACCTTCCCTCAGTACATCCCGGTCGCCGGGTCCCGCTTCTGAATCCGTACCACTCTCAGAATCGCTATCGTTTTCAAATTCACTCCCCCCGTCTTTCTCATCCTCATCGCTCTCCTCGCGCAACTTTCTGCCGCTCCGCTTCTGTGGCACAGCATTCTCCACCTTACTTTCCGTGGCGCCCTTTTTGGGCCGTCGCTGATCAGTTCTAAACCCCTTCTTGACCAAGTTCTCCTGGTTAGGAAGAGCCTCATCGCCCTCTGCTACAACCACCTCCTCATCTTTGCTTTCCTCCTCCTCACCCTTCTTCCGACCTTTCGTCTCTCCCTTCTCCAACCGATAATACTTCTCCAGATTATCCGCATCCTGGCCCTTCTTCTTCCTACCCCGCTTGTCGACCACAAACTTGGTCTGAAAGGCAGGGTCCTTGAACATTGCCTCAAAACGGGGATCGATGGCCACCTTCTGCTGGCCACGCGGGATCCTCTGAAAGCGGGGGTCGCTGTGCAGTTTGGCAAAGCGAGGGTCTGCAATCACAGGGGCGGGGCCCCGGCCCTTGCCATGCTTCTGCTTTCCCCCCCCTTCTGCCATCTTGAGAGAGGGGGCGGAGCGCCAATGGGTTCACCTTCGAGTTTTCTAGCAACGAGGATCAGATTCCATGTACAAACTACTATGTAGTACAACTCTTCAGAGCTTGTTTCTTGAATGGCTGGCCGCTATGCTATCCTAGTCCGAAAGCTTGAAATGGCCTAACAAATAGCATGGACAAGGGCTATAGCGGGCTATAGCCGTGCAGGCACTTATGAAGCGAGTCGAATTCAAGCAAGGCGAAATTCGCATGTAGCTTTCTTCGATGGCGAAATATCATAAGCCTACCTAAAAGGTGCCAGAAGGCAATATTATCATATTAGTAGACTTTCTGTATTTTGGAAGCACTTGTTGAAGTCTGAAGAGGAAGGTCACGCGGGTCACTCCAAGCTCTGGCAGTGGCACAGTAAAGGAAACGTTGAACTTGAAGCAAGGCTGAAGCAAGGAGCTGGCAGCTGAAAGCTCTGTTTCTGGGTAGAAAGTTCCAGTTTTATGTAGGATGGTGAATTTTGTTTGATTGCACAGCTCACATATTCCGAGTTAGAGCTTGTAGATGCGGCTGCTGTAGACTGCAACGCAGGGTGCGCCATGAGCAATGCCACCGATGAGCACCAGTTCCGCTTCTGACGTTAGCCACAATTGTCCGCCTCTTGCATTGCCCGTGCTGGTTTGTAGAGGCTACAATCCAGCTTCTGAACCGCTTCAACTGAGCTTCCAGACCTCTTCAGGCAAGCCCCTCGGACAATTGGATCAATGCGCAATCAAACCGTAAAGCACAGAGGCATTTGTTATTGGAGAGTTCATTGCCAATTTGAACAGGCACCGTCCAGTCCAAGGTTGTGAATGGACAACCTTGAGCAGTCTCTGGAAGGGGTGAAGCGCAGGTTGTCAGATTTGTTTCAGAACCATCCGATGGGCCAGACACTTTCGCAGCGGGTGAAGGCTGAGGCGGAGCACGTCCTTGACAGCTCAGAGGGCTTCCAAGAGGTGGTTGAGTGGTCGTTTGCGGAAGGGGGGGGGCTGGCGCACGGGCTGCACAAGTGGCAGGTGAGGAGCTCTAACCAGAGTGGATAAGTGGACCCTGTGGAATCTTGGCGTTCTTAGAACTTGTGAAGTTCAGGAACTCAATTTGAGCGGGCACAGGTTCAGCCCCAAACTGTTTGCCCCCCAAGATAAGGCTGCTGGTGTGATGTGACTGCTTAGAAGTGCCCGTGGTTTACAATGCTTCACACTTTACAACACCCCTTCCTTCCAAAGCATGCCCCAGCCAGTCAATAATCAGTCCGCTGGCGCCTCAAACCGCATTCGAGAGTAAGATCAGTACGGCTCACCCGCTTACTGGCAGGGACCTCTAGAGTCACTTACTGATTGTTCAAGTCACGTTTGGACAGCTTATGCCTGTGCCCTCTTATCCATCTTTTCGAGGCGTTGCAAGCTGCACCTTCCTTTTGACTTGCATTCACTCTTCAGGTGTTTCTTGTTCCAACATTCGTCGAACTTGAGTCCAGTTCCGTTTTGATAGCCAACGAGGAGAGCGGCAGAGTCCTTCTCATGTAGGTGGCAGATGTAAAACCGGACTGATTGGATCCCTCTGGCTGGCAGCTTTATGAAGCTATCCAGCGGATCTACGTCCGGATGGGAACGATGGAGCTGCCATTCGCAGAGCTGTGGATGCGGAGGTATGCAGCATATACCCCGTGTGAAGCGAGCCCCTGCTCATCTGAAACAAGCTTAGATCTGCAGAACATTGATCCGATTGCTGATTGTCACTGCCCCATTTAGGTCAGGACTTCTGGTGCCAAGTGATAAACAAACCGGCTTCTTCTCCGAGACTCAAGTCTCACCGAGTCGGGTTCAAAAGGTGACCGCCAATGGCTGCGAAACTGCTGAGAGCTTTGACGGCGCAATAATGATTACATTCACTTTGTGGTTTGTGTAGCTTGTGTAACTTTTCGAAGTCCTGTACGTCCTGTTTGGGGGTTGGAGAGGAAGGGTTCTGTGTCTTATGTCCGGTTCTCAACCACCCAATGGAAGATTCAGTGGGTGGTTCACCGGGTGGATTAATCGGTGGTCCAACGGGTGGTTTAATGGGTGGGTGGTTTTTAGTGGGATGCCTCCCCCGGGCAAAGAGAGACAAGGCCGTTCTAGTAAACTGATGGGCAGGTCTTGAGTTCAAGCTTTCCAACAAATTCATCCATAAGATACAGTGCACTGGACTTCGTCCGACCGTTTCCTTTGCGCCGCTTCTGATTCAAGGCCAGGGATGTGGCTCGCGGCAGTGGACGAATTTGTCGCCCTTATTAGAAGTAGAGATCAAATTCCAAGATCAGTTCAAAAGATTAGGCCATGCCGACATCCAGAAGCCCTGCGAGACTATCCCTATTTCATCCTGTTCTCAATCAAGCTCCCACCAGAAACTCCCAGGCATCTCGTTCATCAAGTCGGTAAAACCTGTTGGTGGCGGGCAAGTGTTTCCGCAAAGAGATTAAGTCACCGGATGGACATTCTGACCGTCCACTTCGAGGCAAAGTCGTCAGTTCGACGCCAGTGCTCAGTCTAGTTGTTGTTTGAGTTGAAACCGAAGTAGAATGAGCTGAACGGCTCTACTCTGTATTGGCTTTTGAGCCAAGGTGACGTGAATAGGTTCACAACACAAGAATTACGCTCCAGAAAATCCTGTGTCAATCCAGGTGGGAAACACGTTCGATATCTGAAACATCTCGCTCGATGCCTCCTCTTCGCAGGCCGCCGACCCAGCAAGACGTGGACGAAGTCATCGAAAAGGGCATCTTCTTCATCGGCCGGGACACCCTCAGCCTGGAGGCGTTCCGGCACTTTGCCCGCTCGTTTTTCGTTCATTTCGCAATTTCCCGGTCATCGCACCGGCTAGCAATCTTCATACCGGCTGGAACCGTGCTCGTCTTCATGTCGGCCGGCATAGTAAAACGGATCCCAATCGTAGGTGATGTGTACAAGGGCCTAGGGAGGATTATTCCGAAACTAGCGCTCGGCGTGGCTGTGGGACTGGTAGCAGCATTCCGAATGCGATGAACGTGTCGTTGAAGGTTCGTGCAAGTAAATGTACATAGCTTTGAGCCCGAGAGTTGATACATTCATAGCACGGTTAGTCACTCACAAGCAGTGACCTCCGGGTGCGATGGTGCGATTCGTAAGTGCACAATGGACAATCTTATTACGAATATTGATTGATATTTGTTTCGAAACTCCGCATTTGATTGCGAAGGCATTGCCCGATTCCACCCTGGCCGGCCCGACAACTGGTTCAGGCCCTACATCTTAACCAAAGTCGTACAACAATAACGGTGCTGACTTGCGTGCGCACATGACGTCGGTCTGCGGCGCGCGGGCGATCTTGATTCTTCGCGCTTCTGTAAAGCCATGGAATCTCTATTGAAAGACTGGTTCTCAAGTACGGCAATAGCTCCATTTGATTGAACAGCTGCAGCTATATGAGTGCTACTATATAGTGGCCCGGCCATGGCCAGAGGTATTGCAATTCCTCTGCAATTACAAATGCATATAAGCCAAGCATGATTCCAGGTCCTGCCATGCATCATAGCGCGGCCCGGATATGCGCCACGCGGGTCCGTTCGATAACATTTCATGACCAGTACCGAAGTGTCAATGTCCTATATTGACTCGAGACGGCGGCCGGGCCGCCTGCCTGCACATCTTTTAAAGCATTTCCGCAATGCATGGCGCAGAAACATACAGTTGGATGGTGGCAAGATTCGAGTGTCGTCGGATAAGCCGGAGCTAGGTGACAATTTAGCAATCATTAAATATATCCACGAAGCCTGGGGGAAACAATCGAAGCACCCTAATGGGACGGTTAGTATAGTAGGCGGCAGCCAAGGTCTGCATCCTCCCGTCTTCTTCGACTTCACACCGATGCTACTCAGATATAGTGGGCTGACTGATACAAAGTGGTGTTCTACGACCTCTGGATTGAAGCGGGGTATATGCTAGCTCCGATCAAGTATGCGGTTCTAACGTAAAGCGGATTGGACTCTAGAGCGTTTATATCTACGAGAGAGGAACTGACGCTCCAGGTCAAACCTCTCATTTGTCTCTGGTCGAAATCAAGCTGTATACTAACAGGGACTTGTTGTGTGCACCTCCCATACGTACGCTGGCAACACATATATACAAACCGCGCGCCTCCGGCGCATTCAGGCAAGGCCCGCCCTCATCACGTGCCCGCGACCCGAAAGTATGCCCAGCCTCCAGCTTACCCGTAGATTCTTCCAAACTCTTGAGAACCAACCTTAGCCCAACGTGCACACAAACCGCTGGCTCGCAAGAGCGCATCACAACGCGTTCCAGTCTGGGTGGTTCTGGAGCTCCTTGATGACTTCTTCCCCGTACACTCGGTCCCAGAGACTCTTCTGAGCGTTGCCAGCGGTGTTGGGATGGAACATCCTGTTGGCCGCCGCTTTGGCCTTCTTCAGGTCACTTCGGGACGGTCTCTCGCCCCCACCCACCTGCAAGCCGGGCGGCGTGCGGCAACGGGCGGTCAGCACTGGATTGGACACAAAGATATCGTAGAGAACCGAACCGTTGTGGCTGATTCTGGCTGGATTATAACGTTTGGATCATACCTACGACAATGATAAAGTCGATGTATTCCGGGGGCCAGGGTGGCAAGGAGAAAAGGTTTCTTCAATCTACACGAGAGATAGAATGAGAGTTGTTCCAATGGGAAAGCAGCATGCTTCTCCTGATCCTTGTAGGATCAGCAGAGACAACTTCAAACTCAAATTTTGCGCTTCGCCAAGATACGCGTCACTTCCGTTATCCATTGAAGTTTCTCAACCAGCCGACACATGCACTGATCAAACAAACCGAGCTTGATAGCAAGTTTAGATGGCGACTGCGGCTGAGATAAGTCTGAGGCCATGTGGCAGCACGGCAAATGCACAGCGTGGCACCTTCCCATCATTTGACGGCCTGCCAAATATCTAACCCTTGCGCTCAAACAGCTGCACTTGCTGGAAGCTACGAGCGTCCTTTGAACACTTGAACGATCCCCTTATACTGTTGACTGAGACATAACCTCCGAAAAAGAAAGAAGGGCCAGAATTTGGGTTGCATACAGGGATCCCCAAACGGCGGAGCAGGTCCAGAAGAGATCCGTCGGCAGCCTCTTTGACTGGGGCAATCTCCGCCCTCGCCGCCTCCCCTAGTCTCTCGCGCTCAGCATCATCTTCAGCCGCCTTCTCTTGCTGCTGCCGGAAGCTGTTGACCCTCTCAATCTGAGTTAAGACGAGAGGAAAATCTCTGATTTGAGTCCAGGCAGCCGTAGCGGCTGGTCTTTCACCGGATTGTCAGAAATTATTTCTGGGCTGACATCCGCTGAATGGTGGCCACCAGGTTGCCTGTAATAGTTTCTACATCAGATGATCGAGTACCCTTGACTGGGGACTACACAAGAGCAGACCCGACTCCGCAGAGGCTAGAGTTTGCCAGCTACTCGCTTTTGAACGGGCGACATCACTGCAGGCAAAGCGCTAATGACGGTTAAGCAGATCCGCAACCGATATCGTCAGTTTCGAAACGAGACGAGCTCCAATCTCCAACATTATCGGCTTCTGACGACATTGAAGGATGTTCAGGAGAAATCGCAGCCAGGCACACAATCAAGAATTTCTACTTTGATCCCTAAGTCTGGCACAAATGTATCACCTCTCTCGCGTTTGCTGCGGGTCCATTCGCCTGGGCTGCTCTCGCCTGCATAGTCAGACGACATTAATTAGCAGCTTGACAATAGTAGCTCTTCAGATTCCAAACGCAATGATACCGATTCTGAAGTACAGTTCTGCGGTCCAACAAATCGGGAAAAGACGAGCAAGCTTGATGAGTCGTCTTTGTTCCGTTCCTCAGCTTACGCGTCGAGATCTTCATATATAAATCTGCTGCCCAGACTGATTGTGCTTCAGAGATCGCCTTCAAGTGCTTTCAACCAAAGCTCGAAGCTCAAAGATTGAGCTTCACATCGCTCACCCCTGTCGGCTGGGCCACCAGGCTGACATGGACCTTCATCTGCGACGAGATCCGCACGAAGGTATCCTTCAGTGCCACGCCGTCCACCGACTCGTGGAAGTGCCTTTGCGCCCTGTTTGCCAAGCTCCTCAGCTGATCCTTGTTCGCATTTCCAAATGCCACGGTGTGCACCTCCAGCTTGTCGCCACTAAAGGCCCTGTAGATCGCATCCATCTCCGCGGAGCCGCCGGAGCCGCACCCGTCGGACATGAAGAGGACCAGGGGCGTGTACACCACTTGTCCGGAGCGGAATGCGGACACCCCGAAGCGGAATGCGGACACCGCAGACCCCCGCGCGCGCACTCTCTGGAGGACCTCGAAAGTCGTCGACAGAGCGGGGCTGAAGCGGGTGTCCGCGCCGGTGGCTTGAGCCGGGAGGGCAGTTTGGGGCTGCGCCGAGAAGGGCTGCGCCTCACAGACGATGCGGGCGCTCGCGTCAAAGAGCGCGATTGACAGGACGTCCGCCGAGCTCTTCGCGAGCCGCGTTTGCACGAACGCAGAAACGGCGGCCTTCAGCTGCGCCCAGGGCGCCCCGTTCATGGAGTACGACGAGTCCAGCACGAGAACCACGTGGTAATTGTCGCCGGACGCAAGGGGGTGGGCGGGGCTGCAGTTGTACACGTGTCCGTCTGAGGAGACGACCCCAGGATCTCCTTGGATCGCCAGAGCGTTTCTCGTGCTGGCCGTTTCCGTAACGGGGCGGTGCCACAGCGGCATGACGCACTGCGACTTCGCGGCCCCGGGCGCGCAGTGCGCGGGGTGGCCGCACGCGTAGCCGCACCGCGCGAACTCTGCGCGGTCGGCCGCCGAGCAGCTGTCCTCCCAGCCGACCGTGTCCCAGTAGGCCGCGTGCGTCAGCTCGTCCTTGGGCACGTGCCCGTTCGGCAGGTAGACACGTGTCTGGTGACGCCGTCCGTCCTCAGCGGCGTGCGTGCATCTGCAAAACGTTCTATGGTTTACGCCATGGTTGCGGCCACATGAGGCTAAATAAAAGTCGAACGGGCGGGATAATGAGGTGCTTGGAGAGCTACTGGCAAAGAGGCCACATACCGTTCTCATTGCAACACGCTTCCCTGATATGCGATGGCCTGTTTTGGAGTCAGCCGCAACCTGTCACTGCTGCAAAGCAGCTTCGATTGACGTGCAGGTCGCCGCGGAAGCAACAGAAGAAACTTCCCCAATCCGGAAGCGGGCGGTTGGAAGTGAAAGGACACACAGCTTTAAACTGTCCAAGGAATTCACCTGAGGGGATCCGCCGAGTCGCAGTCCATGATGTGGATGTGGCCGCGGCCCGTGGAGCGGCAGAACATGTCGCACATCTCCGCGCGCCCCGACTCCCCGGGCGCGTACACGCGGCCGCCGCCCAGGTCGATCTCCTCGGCGTCCGCGACGAAGAAGCTGCGGCGCATCATGCCGTGCGCGCCCTTGTGCAGCCCATTGTGGCCGTACTCGAGCTCGCAAAAGTACCTTGCGAGTTCGAAAGGGCCTCAATCGATTATTGGTTGAAAGTATCTGCAGAGTTCGTCAGGTTCGGGAGTTTGAACCAATCAGGACGGAATGATAGGTCCTGCGGCGGTATGAAAGGGGGAAGACGTGCTGATCTTCAGAGAAACGCGTTCTCAAATTTTGGCTATGATTGATTAGAACAAGTATTGAAACAAAGCAGGCAGGGTAAGAGAGCGTTGTAAAACTTCGACATTCCAGCCACTTTTGACCTTGATAAGGGTTAAAGACCAGACGCATCTAGAAAAGCAAGAAGCTCGCATATATAAGCTCTGCACAGCCGCTCGACTTACCAGCACGTGGGGCAGCGTTTGTCGCAGTATTGCACGACCCGCGGGTCTGTGGTGTGCCGGTGCACGCCGGAATGTTCAGTCTGGAACGGCGGGATCCGCTCGCAGCAGTCGCGCCTCTCGCCGTTCGCCTCCGAGACGGCGCGGTACTCGAAAGTCGACAGCTTGCCCTGGAAAATCTCGGTCTCCTCCTTCACCTCCTGGATGGAAACTTTACAGATCCCGTCCATCTCACACTTTTCGCTGCACGCGTGGGGCTGGCCGCAAAAGTGTGCCCCTTGGAAGCGCGCCTCCTCGGCGGCGTCGGGCGCGATCGCGTTCTCCTCCAGGAAAGTGCGCGACAGCGCGCTGCCGTGGAAGTGATCCCGCGCGGCGCAGCTCTGCGCGCAGTTGGGCAGGACGCACTGGTGCGTGCACGCGACCTCGGGGCACTTGTGCACGGTGTGCTGCTTCCCGATGCTGATGTTGCAGCGGCCCTGGCAGCGCGGCGCGGTGCACGGCGCGCCGCACATGTGCGCGGGCGCGTTGCAGAGGTGCGGCGCGTCGCGCGCGTGGCCCGACTTGCGCGCGCAGACCTGGTTGCAAATAAAGGAATGCTAGCAGATTAAGAAAGTTTAAAAGAGCCTGGTTTTCCTTGCCCGAGAAGCCGTCTTCACGACATTCCAAAGCCAGCAACTGCAACGAAGCATATTCAGTCATGCACAAGTTACAACAGACAGATCTGGACAAGAAGCGTCACTTTCGTTCAAAAATTGTACTTTTTGAAAGAAGCGTCTCAATGATCTGAGCAATTAAAAAAGGACCTAAGATAACACATCAGACGAACGATGCTCGCTCACCAATTTCTGGCCTGGATGCAGTAGCAAGTCAAAAGAGGAAAGTCAAAAGCAAGCGTTCCAAGCGTCAACATGACCAAGCTTTTCTTCTTTAGAGTCGTACCTTGTTGCAGTTGAGGCAGTGTGCCAAGTGGCAGGCGGCCCCGCACGTGTGGTCCTTGACCCGGCAGTCGTGAACGCCGGCGTGCCCGTTCCTCTCGCCGCACGCGTTCTGCTCAGCGGCGCCGTCATCGACGCAGTAAGCGCCTGCGCTGTCGCACTTGTGGCTTCCCATGCATGAGTGCACCTGGACCTCTTGATTCTTGATGGATAGGCAGCCCAGGAAGCAGTGGTCGCACCGGGCCTTGCAGAGCCGCCACTCCGCCTGCAGTAGAAACGATTCCGCCCTTAGGTTGGAGGTGTTTCTTTGAATGTAAAGGCTGGGTGTTTCTAAAGGCAGCAAGTCACGACCCTGATGGCCATCGAAAGTACCTTATGTGAGTGCATGAGCGGGGAAGGATTGCAAAAAGCTCAGAAGCCGTGAAATGAGAAGATTGAGAGACGGCGGAAGTTGCACACAGAAAGACGAACCGTCAAAGATCCCAAGAAGCAACAGCGCAAGAATTCTCAAGTCGCCTGGGATGAAAGCAAAAGCACCGCTTTCAAGATTACAGCGTAAAATAAGCTCCCAATATTCCGGAGGGCTTTACAAGCTTCACAACGGACGTGGTAAGCGGCAATGGAAAACCAAATAGAAGACTGATTTTACATAGACTACGCATCCGCTTATCCGCTCAAAAGGAACACAGAACCAAATGATTCAGCCGATTTAGGTGGTTTTTCATGTTGTGGATCTCAAGTTGTGGAAATGATGGAGCTTCGAGTCTGATGCTCTGCGTCTGGGACAGAGAAAAGTCACAAGACAAGAGCAAGTCAAAAGTTTTTACTTCGTCCGGACACCTTGCCTGAAGCTCCCGCGCCTTCGCTTCCGCTTCCGCTCGAAAGCGAGCGGCCGCCTCGTTCAGCGTCCCGTCCTCGTCTCGGAATTCCGTCAGTTTGGCGTCCACCCACTTGAGCACGCGGGTCACCCGGCGCGAGACAACAGCTTCAAGGAGCGCGGAGAAGCCAGCCCACCACGCCACGTGGCTGGCTCCGGTGCGGGCGCCCGCCTGCGCCTCGTAGAACTCCTTGAGGCGGCCCACCAGGAGGTCCTGGTTTGCTCTCTCGCCGTCGAGCAGAATGCGGTCGTCTTGCAAGTCCACTTCTGTCGGGTCAGCACCGGCGAGGAAAACGGCGAACTCCGCGGAGCTGTAGGCCGCCAGGCCCTTGTCCTCGATGGGCTCTCTGAAACGAGCAAGGGTTTTTGATGAAAGGGCAGCCGGCCATCAATAATACAACGCTGATAGCATTCTCGACGTCTCTTGTTCTTTTGATTAGTCTTGCAGGACTGTTAGAAG